TCTCAGGAGCCGGGGTTTCTGGGCGTGGGCTCGGGGCTGTGGTCACTCAGGTTGACAGCAGAGGCCACTCTGAAAGGCAGGCCTGGAGCTGACCCCCGGCTATGAATCAGGGAAGGAGTTGTGCACTCTTCTGTGAAGTCTTTCCCTTCAGAGCAAGACTCTGAAAAACCAGGTGTGAATGGGAGAAGAAAAGAAGAGGAGGAAAGAGGAATAGAAGGACAGCATGAATACAGTACGGAGGAATAGAACGGCAGTACTTGTCCATTCGGACAACTTAAACTGGTCAATGACAAGACCAGGCACTGGTGTCCCGCCCTACGGGGGCTTTGCCTGCCTGACTCACCAGGCTCAAGCTCACTTGAAAGGCAATGTGGGCAGGGGTGTCGCATCCCATCTCCTGGCAGAAGAGAGAACTCAGTCTTTGAAAGTATGAGACTTGGGGGATGTTTGTCACAAGAGCATAAGCTATCTCCACTGACTGATACACTGGGCCATGTGTGAGTATTTCATCCCAAATCAGCCCTGACCAGCACAGCTGTCCACCCCTGTCCAGGGTGAATGCTCTCTGAGACCCCAGTGGATGCTTGAAAACCCACATCACTTCCTGAGACCATTTTCTTATTTGTCCTCCCCCACAGGGCTTGGCGACCCCAGCACGAGGGCTTTCTTAAGTCAAAAATGTTGACAGCTGGCGCCGGTGGCTCACGCCTGTATCCTAGCTACTCAAGAGGCTGAGATCTGAGGATCGCAGTTCAAAGCCAGCCCGGGCAGGAAAGTTTGTGAGACTCTAATCTCCAATACACTACTAGAAAACTGGAAGTGGCGCTGTGGCTCAAGTGGTAGAGTGCTCACCTGGAGCTGAAGAGCTGAGGGACAGTGCCCAGGCCCAGAGTTCAAGCCCCACGACCGACAAAAAAGAAAAAAAAAAATGTTGCCAGTTGCTGGTGGTTCACGCCTGTCATTCTCCTAGCTACTTAGGAGGCTCTGAGGATCGAGGCTCAAAGGCAGACGGAGCAGGAAAACGCACAAGACCCTTAGCGCCAATTAACTGGCAAAAACAAAACAAAACCAAAAACTGAAGTGGTTCAAGAGGTAGAAGTCCATCTTGAGAAAGAAAGAAAAAAAAGCCAAGTAGAAGCACAGGGAAGTCAGTTCAGTTCAAGACCCAGTAGCAGAGAGAGAGAGAGATGGGGAGGGGAGGAGGAGGAGGAGGAAGAAGAGGAGGGAAAAAAGGAGAGGGAGGGAGGGAGGGAGAGAGGGAGGGAGGGAGAGAGGGAGGAGGGGAGGAAGGGAGGGAAGGAGGCGCAGGCTAGAACAGAAGGAGAGCCTTGGAACTCTATCTTACAGATGAGGTTAGCCAAGTGCTGACAGCTTAAAGAGCCGTGTCCAAAGCAGTTGTAAGCTAGCGACGTTGGGACGTGAGCCAAACCTGTGGCTGGGTGGGGCAGGCTCATGTTCCCACTTCACAGACCGGGAAGCTGAGGCTCCAAGCGGAAAAACCACTCGCCAAAGCAAGCCATGGAGTACTGGCCCTTTGTGCCTTCTCCTCCCCCTCCTCCCCTCCCTCCCCCTCCCCCGCCCCTTCCCCAGAACATGAGTCAGGCCCCTGGGTTGCGGCAGGAGGCCCTCCCCGCGCCCAGCGGGGCTCAGGAACCCCCTCCGAGAGCTCCAAGCGAAGGAGCCCTGCCCGCTGCATCTGCCCAGGCGCTTCTCCAAGCTCTTCGCCACTTGTCGCTATCTCCCGCTTCTGGGCGGGAGGCTCTGGTTGGCATTAGCACCCCGCGCCCCGCGGTGGTCCCAGGCAGGCCCTGGGCTCCATCCAAAAAGTGTCAGACTCCGCCAGGCCGTCCTGACGACTTATCTAACGTGGAACATCAAATGGTTTGATCTGCCAATTAGGCGCCCCCGGAGCTGCTAACTGGAAGCAGATGGCTCTGTCCATCACGGGCTGGGAAATGTGTGCTCCCCACGTCCCCGCCGCACGGGGCCCGCCCCGGGCACCCCGAGACCAGCCTCCTCCTGGGATGGCAAGCTCAGCCTTGTCCCCTGCACTGGAGGACTGCGGGGGGGGGGGGGGGTATGTAGGCCTCAGTGTCTCAACCCCAGGGACCCCCAACTCCCCCTGGGTCACAAGCTCTGCTAACCGCCCCCCTGGGGTCTCCCTGCGTTTACAAACCGGGTTGTTCCTGCCACTGAGCTTTCATCCAGGCCTGCAGAGGCTCAGGGTTTGGGGGGGACACAAACCACTGAGGGTGTCCTTTTGCCCCTTTGGTGGCCAAACTCACCCAACATCTTCGGGCCAGGGCTCCCCCTCCTCCTCTTCCTCTCACCTGCAAAGCCGAGGTCCCCAGGTCCCAGGCCCTGAGGCGAGTCCTGGCCCAACTCAACGTCCACTCAGTCCCCCCGACACACACACACCTTGAGCTCCCCCAAAATCCACATCCTTACACTGGTGCCAGGCGGCCTGCCCCTCACCCCCGCTGGGTGGCCGAACCCAGAGAAGGGGCGGAGCAATGGCCACTGGCTCATTCACGGAGTGCACCAGGGGTGGGCGAATGGTCGGAGGCGTGCACCGGTGAATACCAGCCCCCAATACCCAGCCTTCTCTCAATCCAGATCTGAGCCCCGCACCGTGGGCTCTTCCCGTTCCCACCCCACAGCCCAGCCCATTCCTGCGTGCGTCCTTCTCTAGAAAGCGCCTGCTCTGGGCCTGGGGCCCCCCTCGCTGCATGGCCATCTTCATGGAGCAGGTGACAGAAGCCCCCCCCCCATATTGTTTCCCATCTCCAGAGAGAGGGAAACAAGGCAATCCATGCATGGCACGTTGCCTGGGATCCGTGTGAGGCAGAAAGGGAAAATGAGGGACGGAGTCTCAAGAAGATCCCGGAAGAGCACTTTAATCAGAGGGAGCTGTCTGTGCAAAGGCCCTGAGACAGACACATGGCTTCCCCACCCCTGCGTCCTCCTGCCAGCTCCCTGAAGCGTGGGTCCCCCGGGCTGGGAGATGTCCTCCCACTGCGTACTGCAGCTTCCAGGCCGGCCACTGGGCTTATTCCACAGAGCAGTGATTTCTGTGGTAGGCTGGGGATGGGACTCACATCAGTCAGGTGACCCTGGGCGGGAGAACCTCCCTTCTGTCCACACGGGGTAAGGAGGGGTCACAGCAGTGGTGGTACCTGGCATGGCCCGTCCCCTGCTGCCCTTGTCCTGAGGCGTGGGGCGACGTGGGGCCTGCCCACAGGAGATGGGTCTTGTGATCCTCTTGGGTCTCTGAATTCCCCAGGCACTGATTTGAAAGAACGGGCTGGGGGGGGAGGACAGCACAGAGCATCCACGGACTTGGGCCATTGCATTGGCATTGGTAGGAAAACCGCTCTGCACACCAGGTTCTAAAGTGGCTCAGGGAGAGGAACTAGCCCACCCGTCAGGATGGAAAAGCAGCCTAAAAGTAGGAAGTCCAGCCCCCAAGTAACAGGTACTGTAGGCCAAGAGCCCACGGGCCCCACACACCCTGAGTGTGACGGGGTACACTGAGGCCCGGGCAGCAGCAGGCCTGTCCGCTCAGGGCCACTCGGCTTGTGGTAAGCCACCCTGCCAGGGGCCGTCCGGGCTGCAGGGACATGGGGGAGCCTGCTCCTGTCACACCGTGGACACTCTGACCCGTTGCCTGCCTGCTGGAAGGGTGTCCACGCGACCCTGTGGCAGTGCCGGCTCCCTGGTGAGCTGTGAGGGGCCCCACTGGGCGTCTGGGCACAGGGAGCTCAGGGTGACCCCTTCCCCGGAGGAAGCCGTTCCTCCCGGCACCCTGACTGAGCTCCCGAAGCCTGAGCACCCAAGGTCAAAGCCAGAGCATGCCGGGGAGGGGGGGGGTCAGCCTGGAAGGAGGCTCTGTTTCCTAGAGATTGGTGCCATGGGGTATGGCATAGAATCCAGACATGAAAAACAAAAGGAGGCCCGGTACCATGGCTCACACCTGTCATCCTAGCTACTCAGGAAGCTGAGATCTGAGGATGGTGGTTCAAAGCCAGCCCTGGCAGGAAAGGCTGTGAGACTCTTATCTACAAGGAGCCACCAGCAAACCAGAAGTGGCGCTGTGGCTCAAAGTGACAGAGCGCCTAGCCTTGAATGGAAAAAGCTCAGGGACAGCACCCAGGCCCCGAGTTCAAGCCCCACAACCTACCCAAGATACAAAACCAAAACCAAGAGGGAAAGAGGCCTTCCTTACAGGCTCCCTCGTGGTTGGGGCCGTGTGTACCCGCAGGGATCACTGTAAGAGAGTCTCACACACCCAGCAGACAGCCAGGCCACACTGCTTGGAAGGAGTGGAGCCGGGGCTGAAGCCAAGGTCCCTCTGAATCCTCATGTCCTTTCTCTGAAAGCAAGGAGGAAGCACCTAGCATCCCTTTGCAAGATCCCAGAAGCCGCCTCTGTCTGAGCTATTCAGAATCAGAAGCAATGAGGTGAGGAGCAGCAGACAGCTCAGGAGAAGCCCACAGCCCCGCCCCCATTCCCCTCTACCCTGACCATGAGACCTGCCTGAGCCTGCAGGCGCCCAGCATGGCCACCAGATGGCGACCGCAGGCTACTAAATCAGACTTTATCCTGGAGACCACTAGGTACCCGTGGGTGGATTTTTTTTCTGGCAATTGAAACGGCTCAAAGGAGAGAATCAATGTGTGGATGTGGATGTGTGTTTGTGTATGTGCGTGCGTGTGTGTGTGTGCGTGCATGCATGCTTGCCCATCCTGGTGTTTGCACTCAGGGCCTGCGACTCTTAGATCTCAATCTCCTGAGTAGGTAACATGACAGGTGTGAGCCACGGGCACCCGGGGGATATTTTTAACACAAGGTGGGTAAAATGGCTAGGCTGCAGAGAATCTCGGATGAGAGAGCAAGGTTGGGGTGGGAAGGCGGGATGGGACGGGAATGGGGGGGAACCGCTGGCATTCCTGGGCCCCACCCCCACCCCCAGGCCTGGGTCCCCAGGGCCCGCAGCGGGGCTAGTCCATCCTCATGGTGTAGCCCTGGATCATGCTGTTGAAGTAGGCGGTCGTGTTGCGTTCCGGGTAGAAGAGGATCAGGTAGCATTTGGGGCCGAAGTACCCCAGGCTGATGGCCAGGAAGTTGAGTACGGTCACCAGGAGGTCCAGGATGGTGACCAGCACCCCGTTGTGGACAGCCATGAAGGTGCAGAGCGAGACGGAGGTGGTGAAGGAGAAGGCCATGCAGAAGGTGATGAACTTGGCTTCGTTGTAGCTCATGGGCAGCCCCTTGCCCATGTAGGCGAAGCTGAAGCCCACCACGGAGAGAAGCACGTCCATGCTGGTGTTCAACAGAAGGCCCAGGCGGTAGTTGGGGTGACAGGAGACGATGGTGACGCTGGGGTCGTCGGGATCGGTGTGGCTCGTGGGGTCGATGGTGGGGGCTGCCAGCATATTGCCCGCCACCAGGGCCGCCTTGATGGCCGTCATGAACGCCACAGACACATAGGCCCCGTGGCAGCGGACCCAGAGGCCGTAGGCCCGAGGGAGGCGGCTGGCCATCTGGAAGATACAGACGATCTGGAAGGAGCGCACGGCCACGCAGGAGATGCAGACAGTGAAGCAGAGGGTGAAAAAGGCCTGGCGCCAGAGGCACGTGAAGATGGTGGGCGGCCCCACGTACACGGGCACCATGCCAAAGGCCAGCAGCAGCGGCACCAGCATCACGAAGCACATGGGGCCCCCTGCCGAGCGCACCATGGGCGTCCGGAAGTGTCTCCAGAACACCACCAGGATGGCCAGCGTGCTGAAGAAGCCCAGGAAGGCCAGCAGCACCACGATGATGGTGGATGCCTCGTGCCATTGCAGGAAAGCCAGCCGCTGCCTGAAGCAGGAGACGGTGTTCCCGTGAGACCACATGGTGCTCGGGCAGGGCTGGCAGTCAAATTCATCTGCAAAAGCCCACACAGAACTCCCATCGGTGCTGCCCCATCTCATGGAGGAGGACACACTCAGCTAGGTGAACTCATCGGCCCAAGTCCCAACACCAGTGGGATACAGAGCAGGATTTGAACCCAGATCTCTGAAGATTACCATCTGTCATTTCTTCCTCTCAGCCACTCCCTCAGGAGTCCATTTAATGAGCAACGCTCTGAGCACGGGCTCTCACGGCAAAGGTGGAAGGTGATGGAGAAATGGCTGAAACCCTGGCCCCTGACCAGCTAGGGAAGAACAAACCTCCTATGATCTTGCCCAGCCCCAACCTCATGCTCAGGGCTCTGCTAGGCACAAGGCTGGGGCTCTCATCAGCAGATGAAACCATGCACTTAACGACTCAGCTCTGAACTGCACTGAGCACCAGCCTGGAGAGGGAGGTGATGCTGTCCCTGCCTTCCTGGAGTTTGTGTTGTTGGGGACAGATGGTGTTTCTTCCATTAAGGAGACATTGCATGCACACGCACGCGTGTACACGCACACTTGTGTAATGATCAGCCATTCTGTGCTCCAACTGCATGGGGCACTTGGGTAGGCAGATCCGGGCCTGTCCCTGTCCCTGTCCCTCAGAGCGTCCCGCTGGGATTGCCGCTTGCCTGTGTCAGCCAGTGGACAGACATTCATTCTGTGACCTGGCACACAGGCCCAGGCTTGGGGGGGTGGGGGCGCGGATCAGGGAAAGTCCTGCAGCAAGGGTCTGAGGTCACTCCTTCCTCTGGCCCCCAACCAGCCGGGGGCTTTTACTCCACACCAGCTACTGGGGAGCTACAGGACTTCCCCGACACTGACAGTCCCTTGGAGAGACCCCAGAGACCCTGCCAAAGGGAGGAGCCTCCAGAAGAGCCCAGGGCAGGTGGGCACAGTGCACCTGCAGGCTCAGGGGAAGGAGAAAGGAATGGGCGAAGCAGGAGACAGGATGGGGGAAGGGAATGGTGAGGAGGGGTGGAGGGAATGAGGCTCGAGATTGGCAGTGTGGGGCAGGACACACGGGTGGGGCATGGCAGGGGGTGGGAGGTGGCAGGGTTGAACATAGGTGTGGTCATGGCCTGGGAGGGCAGGAGTAGGGATGGGTTTGGCTGGGGCGGGGCCTGGGAGGGGAGGGACTTGGCCTGGGAGGGGGTGTGGCCTGGGAGGGGCCGGGGCGGGGCCAGGAGCCATACCTGCTGTTTGGTTGTAAAAGGTGCCAGGCGGGCAGTCGTGGCACTCGAAGCAGCAGGGGTGGAGGCCTATGGCCTTCTTCTTCTGCCCAGGCAGGCAGCTTTTGGAACACATAGACACAGGGACCTGGTGGGAGGGGAGGAAGGCAAGAGACTCTGAGCCTCGTGCCCCCTCTCTGGGGGAGCCCTGCCTGCTGGCGCTAGCAGGCTGCTGTAGGAGGGCAGCCTGACTCCCACCCTCTTAAGTTTCACCAGCACCTCCATTTTCCTCTGGCGAAAGCACCTGGATATTGAGGAAGGAACTGCCCAAAGCTGTGAGAGGACAAATTGAGAGGATCACATGACCAGCCTGTGCCTCCAGGGTCCTAACCCATGGGGAAAAGGGGGTGGGGCAGCTCTTCCCCCTAGGCTGGATAGGAGATTGAAGCCTTAGCCAAGGGCCTGGCACACATACACAGGTCCCGTAAAGAGCTATGTGGCACAGGCTCCGGAACCCCTTGATCTCCCCCCACCTGGAGCCGCTAAAGCCTGAACTCCACAGTTTCCAAGGACCCAGGCTCTCCACCCCAAACAGAGACACTCCAACAGCTGTTGCTGGTGAGTCTCTGGGTGCACCTTGGGGAGAAGGGTCCCACCCTCTGCCCTGCCCCTGGGAGCTGACACTATTGTCGCCTGTGTGCCAGGAGACGTTGCCGATGGGCACCAGCTGCTGCTGCCTGGGAGAGTACAAGGCCACGCTCTTGAAAGGATTCTGGCTCAGGTCCCATTGCCACTGGATGATGTCCAGGTACAGGGGCATGTCTCCTTGCCGGTCGAAGAAGATCTGGCTGTTCAGGAGGGTGAAGTTGACATCCCTCAACTCTCTGAGGAGCTGGAAAGGAGAGGGGGGTCAAAGGGAAGGAAGCAGGCTGGCATCAGAGGTAGGACCAGACCTGGACGGACGGCCACCACCCCACTAGCCTTGGTCTCCACACCTGCAAAAGGAGGACTTCCTAGTCCTGGGAAAACAGCCCGGTTCAGAGCCCCGCTCAGAGTGCTGGTTCAGGGGCCCAGAGCCGTACATGGGTTGAAATATATTAGGAGTTTAGAACAACACTTGAGAAGTGCACTCCTGGCTCCTGAGTAGCGGCACTCTGTTCCCTGGATATCAGCGGGGTCACCCCACAGGACCCAGAGCTCACAGGTGCCCCGCAACGCCAGCTGGGATGCTTGGCTCTCTGACTCTTTTCTGTCTCCCTACAGTTTCTTGTCTCTCTCCATTACCATTGCCACTGCTCAAAAGGAAAACCAGTGCTAACGAGGACACATACGGGCCTGGGCATCCGAATTCCAGGCCCAGCTGTGCCCTCCATTGACCATGTGACTGGGACAGTCGCTGAAGCTATCTGGGCTGATGGGTCAAAAGGCTCCATTCTGCAAGCCCGTAGGTCACTCCGCCACCTTAACTCTCCCTCCACACGCAGGAGAACCCGCTGGACTTTGCTTTGGGGACCCAGAGCTCATCATGCCGCAGGGACTGAAAGAGACAGGTGTCCAGAGAGTTGGGACCTGCTTAGAGGGTGAGGGCAGAGCTCCACTCCAGAGGTGCCTGGATCTCACACAGGGTGCCGGGTCTGAGGGCACTGGTCCCAGAAACAAGAGGAGGGGATGCCATGCAGGTGGTCAGCCTGAAGATGGACAGCAGACTGGAGGCCCCTGGGCAGCACGCCCCACACAGACCAATGTCCAATGACCAGTGAGTGACCTGGCCAAAGGCAGCAGAGCAACCTGGGACTCTGCTCCCAGGGGTCCAAAAGCACAGTCCCTGGGGTTCTTCTGCACATGTGGGGACTCAGGACCCCATTTCCCCTCCTTACCAAGCCCCATCCTCCGAGCTGTGAACATCCACCACCCAGCTCACCTCTCCAGCCTCCCTCTCCCCTCTCCTAAGGTAAGCGCTTGTCAGAAACAGGGAAGTCGGGCACTGGTGGCTCATGCCTGTCATCCTCTCTACTCAGGAGGCTGTGATCCGAAGATCATGGTTTGAACCCAGCCCAGACAGGAAAGTCCACGAGACCCTTATCTCCAGGGAACCACCAGAAAGCCGGAAGGGGAGCTGGAGCTCAAAAGATGGGACATCAGCTTTGGGCAAAATACCCCAGACCCTGAGTTCAGGCACATGTGTGTGCGTGCGGACACACACACGCACACACACACGCGTACACACACACGCACACGCACGCACACATGCACGCATACACACGCATGCGCACAGGTGCGCGCACACGCACATGCACACACGCGCACACGCACACACACGCACACACAGTGTGGACCCCAGGAAGGAGTTGCGGTTCTGGAGGTGGAGGCCCGGGCCTCCCTGCATCCAGGCCCCGCCCCCTCCTGAGCCAGGGGGCGGGGCAGAGCAGGCCCCTGCGGTCTCCGTGGCAACGGCGACGCCTGGCCGCCCCGCGCAGGCGCACACCCTCACCTGCCAGGGGCGCACGGGCCCCGGGGCGCACGCGGTCCGGTTGCAGCCCAGCAGCCGGTGCAGAGCGTGGGCCACGGCGTAGACGGCGGCGTACACGCTGAACACCACGCGCTCCCCGGAGAGCGTGAGGACGTCTCCGTAGGAGGCGGTCTTCCAGGGGCAGGTGTCGCACTCCTGGTTGCAGGTGCCCCGGCGGCGGGGGCCCGGCGGGGACGGCGGGGGCCCGGGCTGCCCCCGCCCCGCGCGGAACTCGCTGAAGCCCGGCACCGGCACGCCGCGGATGGTGACGCCCAGGAAGGTGCCGCAGCGGCGCAGCCCGTCCAGGCCGTGCAGCTCCGGGTCGATGGCCCAGGACTCGGAGGCGATCCACACGGCCCCGGTGAGGCGGGCGCGCAGCACGGCCCGGAAGAAGTCGTGCAGGGCCACCTCGGGCGAGAAGACCACCACCACGCGCGCCGTGGACCGCCGCAGCTTGTCCAGGACGGCGTCCAGCCGCGGCGCGCACGCGGGCGCGGGCAGCACCTCCTGGAAGGCCACGCAGATGTCGCCGCCGCGGGACAGCCGCTGGGTCAGCAGCTGGCTGTTCTCGCGCCCGTAGTCGTCGTTGCTCGTCAGCACCACGATCCAGTTCCAGCGGAAGTGGAGCATCAGCTGCACCATGGCCTCGATGTGGTGCGTGGCGCTGGGGACCGAGCGCAGCGTGGCCGGGTAGCGCACCTTGTCCCGCAGCTCCTCCGTGATGGCGCTGTAGCTGATCTGCAGGGGAGGGGCTGCTGAGGGCCGCGCCCCAGGGGCAGGGGAGGGGCAGGGGAGGAGGGGGAACGGAGGGGGAGGAGCAGGGGAGGGAAGGGGGAAGGGGCAGAGGAAGGGAAGGGGAAGAGGAGGGACAGAGACAGGAGAGGGAAGGGGAAGGGGAGGGTCAGGGGGAGGGAAGGGGAGGGGAGGGAAAGGGGAGGGATGGGACGCTACCTGCTGTGTGTGGGGGGGAGGGGATACCTAGGGGATGTGGAGAGTCGAACCCAGGCTAAGGGAACACATCCCCAACCCTCCTCTATCTTGTAGCAACTTCCTATGTACTGTCCAGCCAAGAGTTTAGCTTAGTCTTTCTTGCCTTGCCTGCCTGCCTTCTTGTCTTCCTCCCTTCCTTCCTTCCTTCTCCCTTCCTTTTTTTATGCCAGAACTAGGGTTTTCATTCAGAGCCTTGAGCTCTTAGCTTTTTTTGCCCCAAGCCTGGCACTCTACCACTTGAGCCATAGCTCTACTTCCAGGTTGTTTTGGTGGTTAGTTGGCAGTAAGTCTCACAGACTTTCCACCCAAGCTGACTTTGAACCTCAGTCCCCAGATCGCAGCCTCCTGAGGAGCTAGGATTACAGGCGTGACCACTGTTGCCCACCTTCCATGTCTTACTTATTGAGCACCTACTAGATGTCTCAGCATGGTGGCTTTTCCCCCTCCCCACATCCGCAATGAAGCAGCCTCATCTCTTCCTTTAGCCCCCCAGGCTCCACCCTCTTCCCCAGGCTCCACCATCTTCCCCAGGCTCCACCCTCTTCCCCAGGCTCCACCCTCTTCCCCAGGCTCCACCCTCTTCCCCACGCTCTGGTTGTTCTACCTCTTCAGATGGAAGACCCCAGGACATTGTACCCCAGCCTTGCTCCTCTTCCCTCAACCCTCCTTCCTTTGGCCATGCCAAATTCCTACTTTAAGTAGCATTTCTGGCCAGCAAACCCTTGTTCAGCCCTAGCCCAGATCTCTCTCCTAAACTTCAGGCTGCCTGCCTCACATCTCCAAATCGACTCCCACTGTCAGTAAACCTATTCTCCCCCTCACCTGACTGTCTGATTGATAGTCAACCCAGTCTTCCTGTTCCTCAGGCCCAAACACTTGACTATTACATCACCCCTGCCACATTCCCTCATCCTCAGGTGGATTGGTCTTCAGCCTGTGCCCCTCTGGACCAACCACCTCCTCACCCTACCCTAGTCCAGCCACCACTACCCCTGGCTGGGCAGGCGACCCTGTCCTCCACCTCCCCGACCCCTGACGCTGGGTATCCACATTCCTGTCTGCTTCCACAACTCCTCTAAGCAGAATTTACCAACAACAAAAAAGTCCTTCGGTGGCCCCCAGGGGGCTCCACCGTGGGCCCAGAGACCTTACTCTCCAATTTCCCCTCCTCCTGCTCCCTCCCCATCCCACCCCACCCCCACCAGGTCCCACCCACTAGTCCTAAGTACATCTGGTGCTTTGCACTTGCCGTACATACACTTCTTTTTGTCGGGTTCCCCTCCTAGATGCCCACACAGCTCCCTTACTCCCTCACCCTCTTTACAGTCTCTGTCCAGTTGCCAGAAAGCCCACCTAAGGGGCCCATGAACAGTCACAATCTCCTGCCCCAACATGCCTGACCCCCTGCCCCACTCCACATTGCCCTCGAAGCCACTGACTTCTAACGTACCATTATTTATTTGCATTCAATGTCTGTCTCTCCCTACACTGGTTCCCCGTTGTATCCCCCGCACCTGCAATACTTCCTGGCCCAACACGAGAGATGCTTAAGACATTTCATTACTTGCATGAAAGGATGAATCCAGCCCCTTGGCTAGATGTTTCACATAAAAATATTAAGTCAGTTGCCGGGCGCTGGTGGCTCACACCTGTAATCCTAGCTACTCAGGAGGCTGAGATCTGAGGATCATGGATCAAAGCCAGCCCAGGGAGGAAACTCCAGGAGACTCTTATCTCCAACAAACCACCAGAAAACCAGAAGTGGTGCTGTGGCTCAAGCAGTAGAGCACTGGCCTTGAACTGAAGAGCTGAGGGATAGCGCCCAAGCCCAGAGTTCAAGCCCCACGACCGGCAAAAAAAAAAAAAAAAAAATCAGGTACTGGTGATTCACACCTGTAATCCTAGCTACTCATGTGGCTGGGATCTAAGGATCATACTTCAGAGCCAACCCAGGCAGAAAAATCTGTGAAACTCTTATCTCTAATTAACAACTAAAAAAAACCAAAAGTAAAGCTGTGGCTCAAGTGGGAGAAGGCCAATGTGAACAAAAAAAGCTAAGGAACAGCGTCCTGCCCTGAGTTTAAACCCCATTACTAGCAAACATATACTTAGAAAAAGAAAATTGTAACACATATTGAGCACCTACTGTGTGTCAGTCCCTACACTGAATACTGCAGCAACAAGTTCAGTTATTGTAGCAGCCTACTGTGTGCCGGGTCTTACATGCTGGCTGCTCTTTAAATGAATACACTCCATGGGACTAGGCCCGTTCAGTCACGATGATGACCATAATTACAACCACAATAGACATGCTACCAGAATATTCTTTGAGGACATCCTATGAGGCAGACCTGGGCAGGACAACTGAACACAGGAACACGGGGCCTTTCCTAGTTACCATTCACATGCAGGATGCTACATCATGGGCCACCTACTGTGTGCTGGAAACTCATCCATCTGCAGACAGTCTGGGATGGATTCCCTCATCATCCTGCTTTATGGGTGGGGAAACTGAGGCTCAGAAGCGTTAAGAGACTTGTCAGAGGCTTCACAGTGGCTGAGAGGCATAAAATATCCCTAGTCCCTGCGTGTCCCTCCCAGCACCCTCATGGTTGGGGGTGGGGTGCTCAGAGTCCCCTGGAGAACAGCCTGCTTCATGCCCCGCCCCTTCCTCCGGGACCCAGTGTCTCACATGTGGAAGGAGAAGCATGGAGAGGAAGTTAGCCACTGTCTTGGCAGCCTCAGAGTTGTCAGGGCCGATGATGGCCACCACCCGTGGGACGTAGTGGTCATAGTTCTTGAGGATGGGCAGGAAGTAGTCCTCCTGGGCCAGCAGGTAGAGCACAGGCTGGATGTTGTTGAACATGTAGCAGATGTCCACGATCTCGTAGCCCAGCCGCACACCGGGCAGCAGGCTGCTGTGGTTGTTGATCTCCTCCACCGCAAAGCGCATGGCCTGCATGAGGTTGTAGCCCACCACCTTCATAGTAAACCTGGATGAGCCAAAGCCAGGACCGGGGCAGGGCCACAGTGAGGACCAGTGGGGAGGGGAGAGCCCACAGCCCTCCTTCCTGACACAGGAAGGCCATCAAGAAGATTCTAGCACCTTCACTAGATTCTTTCACTATACCATACCTCTAGGCTCACTGCTTATGTGACCACATTGACACTGATATCACTACATCCTGTGTCTGCCCGTGACCACCACCACCCATAGTGACCTCCATTTTCCACCACACATCTGCCTGTGACAACCACCATCCATAATGGCCTCCATCATCCACCACACTGATGTCTGCCCATGACCACCACCACCCACAGTGACCTCCATCATCCATCACACTGATGTCTGCTCATCACAACGACCACTCACAGTGACCTCCATCATCCACCACACTGATGTCTGCCCATGACCACCACCACCCACAGTGACCTCCATCATCCATCACACTGATGTCTGCTCATCACAACGACCACTCACAGTGACCTCCATCATCCACCACACTGATGTCTGCCCATGACCACCACCACCCACAGTGACCTCCATCATCCATTACACTGATGTCTGCCCATGAGTACCACCCCCCACAGTGACCTCCATCATCCATCACACTGATGACGGCCCATCACCACCACCACTCACAATGGCCTCCATCATCCACCACTCTGATGTCTGCCCATGACCACCACCACCCACAGTGCCCTCCATCATCCACCACACTGATGTCTGCCCATGACCACCACTACTCACAGTGACCTCCATCATCCACCACACTGATGGCTGCCTATGACCACCACCACCCACAATGACCTCCATCATCCACCACACTGATGTCTGCCCATGACCACCATCACTCACAGTGACCTCCATCATCCACCACATTGATGGCTGCCCATGACCACCACCACTCACAATGACCTCTATCATCTACCACACTGAAGTCTGGCCTTGAGTACCACCACCCACAATGACCTCCGTCATCCACCACACTGATGTCTGCCCATCACCACCCACAGTGACCTCCATCATCCACCACACTGATGTCTGCCCATGAACACCATCACTCCCAGTGACCTCAAACATCCACCACACTGATGGCTGCCCATGACCACCACCACTCACAATGACCTCTATCATCTACCACACTGATGTCTGCCCATGAGTACCACCACCCACAATGACCTCCGTCATCCACCACACTGATGTCTGCCCATGACCACCACCACTCACAGTGACCTCCATCATCCATCACTCTGATGTCTGTCTATGACCACCACCACTCACAATCATCTACCACACTGATGTCTGCCCATGACCACCACCACCCACAGTGACCTCCATCATCCACCACACTGATGTCTGCCCATGACCACCATCACTCTCAGTGACCTCCATCATCCACCACACTGATGTCTGCCCATGACCACCACCCACAATGACCTCCATCATCCACCACACTGATGTCTGCCCATGACCACGACCACCCACAGTGACCTCCATCATCCACCACACGGATGTCTGCCCATGACCACCACCACCCACAGTGACCTCCATCATCCACCACACTGATGTCTGCCCATGACCACCACCACTTACAATCATCCACCACACTGATGTTTGCCCATGACCACCACCACTCACAATCATCTACCACACTGATGTCTGCCCATGACCACCAAGACCCACAGTGACCTCCATCATCCACCACACTGATGTCTGCCCATGACCACCACCACCCACAGTGACCTCCATCATCCACCACACTGATGTCTGCCCATGACCACCACCACTCACAGTGACCTCCATCATCCACCACACTGATGTCTGCCCATGACCACCACCACCCACAGTGACCTCCATCATCCACCACACTGATGTCTGCCCATGACCACCACTACTCAGTGACCTCCATCATCCACCACACTGATGTCTGCCCATGACCACCACCACTCACAGTGACCTCCATCATCCACCACACTGATGTCTGCCCATGACCACCACCACTCACAATCATCCACCACACTGATGTCTGCCCATGACCACCACCACTCACAATCATCTACCACACTGATGTCTGCCCATGACCACGACCACCCACAGTGACCTCCACCATCCACCACACTGATGTCTGCCCATGACCACCACTACTCAGTGACCTCCATCATCCACCACACTGATGTCTGCCCATGACCACCACCACCCACAGTGACCTCCATCATCCACCACACTGATGTCTGCCCATGACCACCACCACTCATAATCATCTACCACACTGATGTCTGCCCATGACCACCACCACCCACAGTGACATCCATCATCCACCACACTGATGTCTGCCCATGACCACCACTACTCAGTGACCTCCATCATCCACCACACTGATGTCTGCCCATGACCACCACCACCCACAGTGACCTCCATCATCCACCACACTGATGTCTGCCCATGACCACCACCACCCACAGTGACCTCCATCATCTACCACACTAATGGCTGCCCATGACCACCACCCACAGTGACCTCCATCATCCACCACACTGATGTCTGCCCATGACCACCACCACCCACAGTGACCTCCATCATCCACCACACTGATGGCTGCCCATGACCACCACCACTCACAATCATCCACCACACTGATGTCTGCCCATGACCACCACCACCCACAGTGACCTCCATCACCACTGTTCTCCCCTCTACCATCATCAGCCGTTAGTCCTAACACCAACATCGCCCTTGTCACTACAACCACCATCACTACTATCTTCCCTATCACCAATATCACTGCTCCCACCCCCATCACCACTACATCTATCACCATCACCACTGTGACCATCACCACTACATCTATCAATCACCACTGTGACCATCACCACTACATCTGTCACCATCACCACTGTGACCATCACCACTACATCTATCAATCACCACTGTGACCATCACCACTACATCTATCACCATCACCACTGTGACCATCACCAGTACCATCAACACCCCCTTGCCACCATTACCACTAACACTAAATCACTAAAAACCATCCACCACCGTCACCAACATCATTACCACCATCACCAGCATACTTTTAGCCATTTTATTATCACCATTATTACTGACATCAAGACTCTCTACATTGCTATTTCTGCCACAGCAGGACCATCATCGTCACGGGCATCAGAAAAGCCAACACCAGGCCTGGCGCCATTACTGGCACCGCCACCCACACTCTAGTCAACTCTTAGTCATCTTTATTCTCACTTTCCTGCCCCGCCCTGCCCCCAGTGCTCTACCTCCTCTGAATAAGGTCACTATTTGCTAATCCCAGGCTGGCTCTGGGGGACTCAGTCTTCACAATTGAAAGAAGATGGGCCACTCCATCTCCAAGTGATACTGAGGGAGGGGTGGGAAGGGGAGTCCCTCCCAGAATTGCCCCCTACCCACCCAACCAAGTCCTTGGAGAATGCAGAGCTCCCTTCTAGAACCTGCTTCAGAGAACCACATCTGGCCTTCTCAAAGGCTCGGCCTAGAGCCTAGACTGGCCTTGACAAGAGCTCACTGGGAGTCCCCCAGTTCCTGGAAGGAATGCGGGGGGGGGAGGGTTCGATGGTCTCTAAGACCCCTCTCTCCTGGGAGATGTGGCACCTAAGGATTTCAGCACCCTTGACTCTGTGAGAACCCCTGGGGGCCAGCAGGCTGGTCCAGGATTAGGGGAGTGACGAGGGGTGAGGCGCATGCATCCTGGGCCTGGCCTCCCGGGGACCACCACACGGGCTGCAGCGCCCCCCCATGCCCACACACAGACTCACTTCCTGCAGGTGGGCACCTGCAGGTTGTCAACATGGGAAGTGCTCTTCATGTTGGCGTGGAGGGTGAAGAGTCCACCCAGGAGGAAGTCCCCAGCCAGGTAGAAGTCCGAGTTCTCCATCGGCTCCCCCGGGACCCACAGCAGGAAGAGCAGCAGACACAGCCTCCTTACTTGGGGCCGCATGGCTGTGCACTGGCAGCATCAGGAGAGCCTGGGCTCACCGGAGAGCTCCACACCAGGCCATTTGCACAGACATTTACATAGTGACAGCCCTGCCACTGGCCGCAGGGCACCCAGGACAGGTGAGGAGCTTTGAGGGTTCTGGGGGCAGGAAAGGAGGCCGGAACCAGGATGATTCATTGTGAGGGCCCAGTGGGGCCTGGGGAGAGAGCGATTCAGTGATGAGGCCATGCCCAGCCTCTGCACGGAGCCAGGAACGGGCTCCACCGCCCTGGCGTTTAACATTGCAGAAGTGAGCCACACAGGTCTTGCCAGGGGTCAAAGTAAGGTGGTAGAAGACCCCAGACTATAGAGCCTGACCAAGCTGGCCCCTGGTACAGGGTAATGTACATACAGCACCAGGCCCACAGGGCATTCATTAAGCAAAAGCCACCATCACCCAGAGTCAAGTGTCACCACAGTATTGGCCATCCATCATCTCCTGAGGCTCCCAGGACTGGAGACAACCACTAAGCCCATTCCCCAGAGGAGAAAATGGAGTAACTGGGAAGATCAGGAGCTCAGTCTACATTGCACAGCTAGCAGAGAGGCATCAAAACTACACAGGACAAGACAGTCATCCTAGCTACTCGGGGAGGCTGACATCAGAGGATCAAGGTTCAAAGCCAGCCCGGGCAGGAAAGTCATGAGACGCTGATCTCCAATTAATCACCAAAAAGCTGGGAATGGAGCTTTGGCTCAAGTGGGTAGAGTGCAGATGCCTTGAGCGCAAATTCCCAGAGACAGTGCCCAGACTCTGAGTTTATGCCTCAGGACACACACACACACACACACACACACACACACACACACACACACACACACACACACACACACACACACACACACACACACACACACACACACACACACGAAAAAGAAAACGAAAACCCACAAAAACGATACAGGACACTCTCTGGTGGGTGAGGATGGGAGGAGAGCGCTCAGCTCTGGTCCCTCAGTCTCACCAACAAGCAGGGGCATGACAAAACAGAAGGTTGCCATCTTAACACCTGATCTGGGCACCGGTGGCTCACACCTGTAATCCTAGCTACTCAGGAGGCTGAGATCTGAGGATCGCGGTTCAGAGCCAGCCCAGGAAGGAAAACCTGTGAGACTCTTAGCTCCAATTAACCACCAGAAAACCAGAAATGGCGCTGTGGCTCAAGTGGTAGAGCACTCGCCTTGAGCCGAAGAGCTAAGGGATAGCGCCCAGGCTCAAAGTTCAAGCCCAACCAAAAAAAAAGTGACTACCCAAGGAAGTGGAAGGAGGGGAAGGAGATAGCTTCAGGAATTAGGGACACACTCTAATCAGACACCTATGACCACAGAACTCTGCTTGGCTCATTTCCAGCCCTAACAATGCGTAGACCAGCTGGAGTCTCAGGGTCAAGCTGGACGGCATCACCAGTGGCCGTGTCTCTGGCCATCATTGCTGTGGCCCAGGGGCCGGGCTTGGGGAAGGGGCCGCAAGGATAAAGAGGTGGCAGAAGTCTCAAGACCACCCCCCATCCCTGCCCAGTGGTCCAGAGGACCTGCCATCAGGACCTTCTTTGCCGTGTGGTCCTTGACCCACGTGTCCAGCTTCAGTTCCTGCTGAGGCATGTCTGGTACCCTGGAGGCACCTGAACCTCCAGGCTCAAGACTCAGGCTCACTTGCAGGTCACATGGGCTCTGCTGTGTGACCACACGAGGGACCCCACCTCTCTGAAACCGTGTCTTCTCCACTGACACAAGACTGATGATAACTCCAGCCTTGTGGGCTTGGTGCAGTAATTAAATACCACACTCCATAGCAGACCACAGAGAGGAGGTGTGTCAAGTTCAAGATGGACCCTCGTACCAGGCTCCAGTGGTTCACACCTATAATCTTAGGTGCTCAAAAGGCTGAGATCTGAGGATCGTGGTTCAAAGCCAGCCCAGGCAGGAAAGTCCAGGAGACTCTTCTCCAATTAACCAGCAAAAAGCCAGAAGTGAAGGTATGGCTCAAGTGATAGCATACCAGCCTTGAGTTTAAAAAAAAAAACAAAAGCCAAGTGAGAACATGAGGCCCTGAGTTCAAGCTCTCGTACCAGAGCCAAAATAATAATATAAAAAAGTTTCAATTGTCCCACGAACAGGGTCATCACCTCCAGCTCCCTGGCTGGCATGAAATACCTTCCTGTGTCATAAAATGTCCTGACATTGGGCTGGGAAGATGGCTCAGTGGTAGAGCGCTTGCCTTGCATGCCTGAGGCCCTGGGTTCGATTCCTCAGCACCACATAAACAAAAAGAAAAAAGCCAGAAGTGGCGCTGTGGCTTAAGTGGTAGAACGCTAGCCTTGAGCTGAAGAGCTGAGGGACAGCGCCCAGGCCCAGAGTTCAGGCCCCATGACCGGACCCCCCCCCAAAAAAAATATGTCCTGACATTATCCTGAAGGATGCTAGATAAACTACATCCCAAGCTCAGACCCTCACCACCTCCTTCCTGAGTTCTCCGTCAGCCCCAGGCTGACTGCCCAATCTCCGAGGCCCAGTTCCCCCCCCCTCCCCCTCCCCCTCCCCCCCATCCCTGCTCCCTGCTGGCAGCTGAGAGCCAGGGTGCAGTCCTCACCCTAGATCCTGGTCCCCCAGCCAGGCCCTGCTCCCTCATCCTCCCTCGCCAGCCCACTCTTTCCTGCTTCATGAGCCCCAAGCCACAGTCACGAGGCTCCTGTGGACTGGGGTCCCTGCAGGATCCATCTGGAGTGGCACCCAAGACCATAGCCACTGGCTCCATGAACACCTAGGGGTGGCCTAGTCAACCCTGCAGGCCTCCCTGTCCCCTTCTATGAAATGGGTCTCACTGGATACACTTCATGTCCTCACACAGTGTGGCATGCAGTGCCTGTGCCAAAGTCTAGGCAGGCCTCCAGACAGATACAGGAGTGGGTAAGCTAATAAAAGCAGTATGATCATATATATGAAGGTGAGTTTGTCCAGCTGGGTCCTCCGACCTCTGCCCTGACCTCCACTGAAGCTCCAGTTGCCTAGTGACCCCTCATTTCCTTAGAGAGCATGCTTGACTTGACAGCCCAGGCCCAGCGGCAGCAGGGACGTCCGGCCACACGCAAATGGTCCAAGTTCTAGGCCCAAGGCTGTGGCTGCGTCCCTGCCCACAGCAGGAAAATGAAGGGGCTCCATGGGCATTTCAGGCACGGGGACTTGGCTCTGGTGTCTATGCAAAGATGTCTCAGGTGCTCAGCAGGACACGGGACACTCTGTGTCTAGGGGGTGGCAGAAGGAACAGAGACAGACAGCTTTGAAGCAGTTAAATGGCAGGGGCAGAGGGACTTGAGGTCAGGGTCCTGGCAGCAGAGAGCAAAGGGGCACAGCCTGCAGCACTCAGACCTAGGTTGAAACCCGCCTTCCTAGAGCTGGGCACCGGGGCTCATGCCGTCACCCTAGCTACTCTGGAGGCTGAGATCTGAGGATTGCGGTTCAGAGCCAGCCTAGGCAGAAAAGTCTGTGAAACTCTTTTTTTTGGGGGGGTCCGGTCGTGGGGCCTGAACTCTGGGCCTGGGCGCTGTCCCTCAGCTCTTCAGCTCAAGGCTAGCGCTCTACCACTTGAGCCACAGCGCTGCTTCCGGCTTTTTTCTTTTTGCTTATGTGGTGCTGAGGAATCGAACCCAGGGCCTTGAGCATGCAAGGCAAGCGCTCTGCCACTGAGCCACCTTCCCAGACCGTCTGTGAAACTCTTATCTCCAATTAACCACCAGAAAACCAGAAGTGGAGCTGTGACTAAAGTGGTAGAGCACTCACCTTGAGCTGAAGAGCTGAAGGACAGCGCCCAGGCCCAGAGTTCAAGCCCTAGGACCAACAAAACAAAACAAAAACAAAACACCTTCCTACTTAACTAGCTGTGCAATCTTGGGCTACCTACTCCCCGGCTTCCATTAGCCCTGCCACAGATACAGAACAGCAGCCCTCAGTCACCAGCAGGCCTGCACGAGGGCTGAGGGTGTGCTCGCAGCAGAGTGCTTGCCTCGCATATGTGAAGTCTGGGGTTCCGTTTCCCAGACACACAGACATACAGACACACCATCCTACATGAGGGAGCTCATTCTTCCTATTCAAGCCTTCACCACCTTAGCAGAATGGTCTAGAATGTTTAAGCAAATACCAGAGCACTGGAGTCCAGCCGAACGAACACACAATTCATGTTATAAGGGCTATTACAATGGGTATGAGCAATACTAACTCACTTCGCTGTGTGCGTGCACATGTGCAGGAAGTGTTCTTGTTTATAAATAAGACAGAGCTCTAAGATGACCTGACATTTGGCTCCCTAGCCAGGGGCAGTTAGGTCCTGCCTGCCACTTCCCCGGGTGCAGCCCCTTTCCCATCCTGCAGAGGGCACTGTGCCCACCAACTGACAACACAGGGGCAGTGCTATCAGGCAGGCCTGGAGGGAATGCAGCCAGCAGCCCCACCCCGCCCCACCTCTCCTCTAGGAAGACCACGCTTGAATCAAGTGATAGACATTTTATTGGGTGGCACTGGGCGTCCCCCACTGCCGCCTCACAGTGTACAGTCAGTAGTACCGGCACCTCTAGCCTGCACCCCAGCCCCCCAGGTCAGAAGGAAGCCCAGCCTGTGCAGGCCCAGGCAACACTGGCCCTGCCCAACTATGCGCTATGGTGAGAAGTGGGGACATGGGAGGAAGGCACAACAGCTCTGCGGAGGCCCCATGCATTTGTCCTTGAGGGGAGCCCAGAATTCTCAGTCTCCTAAAAACCACCCTCAAAGGTCACGCCGTGGAGACCCCTGACCATCCAGAAGCCAGGCGGGAGGAGCTTGTCCCTGGGCACCACCGGACCAGCCATATCCAAAGAAAAAAACCGCTGAAGGACTGGTCGGTGCTGGGCAGGGAGGACTGCATTGGCCATGCGTCAGTCTAGAACAGAGGGGAAGCCCAGGCTGAAGTCCTGAGATGGGCTCTGGGAGGCGGGGCCCGAAGAGCTAAGAGGCAATTCTAACAGGATGGCGTCCCCCAGAGCTTTCCAGAGTCTCAGGCGGCATGGAAGGACAGCCCAGTGCCACCCCTGGCAGGCGGTGGGGCATGGCAGGGCTCCGGAGGAGGGCAGGCCCCCTGTGGGAAGGCACGTGGGTCTAAGGCATATGGCTGGCAGGGCACCCCTGGCTGGGAGGGCTCTGCCCAGCGGCGGGTGGGCAGGCCGGCTGGCGCCACCTGTGTCCTGCAGCACTGGGTCACACCTCACTGGGGACACCCAGAGGGGCCTCTGTGGGCTGCCGGCAGGGTCCTGAGGACGGTCCCTCCCCACTCCCAGGTCCCGGAACCACTGGGCCCAGTGTGGGCGATGGAAGGAGACAGGTGGGGAAGGGCCGGGCACAAGGTAGCGGAAGGGGAGAATGAGTGGCCCCGTTCCGCCCAGCGTGGCCTCACACCCAGCCTGAACGGGAGCTGGTGTCAGGATGTGTAACACTCCACAAGGGGGGTGACGAGCAAGTGCGTGTGACGAGCAAGAATGGGGGGGAGGGTTTCCGTGTGGTGAGGCCGTCGGTCTGGACGGACAGCAGCAGGTGGTGGACGTGCCTGGCAAGGCTCACTGCATGTATGAGTAGCGCCAGCCCCCCAGGGGCTCGTGGGTCTCCTTGATGACCTGGGGTGATGTCCAGCGCAGGAGGTAGTGGGGGCCCCCTGGCTTGTCATTGGTTCCTGTGGAAAAGATGGTTCTGTTTGTTTTGGGAGATGCCATGGCTCTGAGCAGAAGGGCTGTCCCACCTCGGAGGTGGGAAGCCATATGAGGGGTGGACGTGAAGTCAGACCTGCGGGGACGCTGAGATGCAGTAAGGAAGGAGTCTGTCTCCTCTGCAAGCTCCTGAAGCCCTTGGAATTTATGCTAACGTACACTAATGAGCCACACTTAGAAGATGGGGGCTGGTTGCCAGGGAAACCACCCAGGTGGTTAGAGGAGCTGGAACTTACAGTCCCAGGTCCACTGGGCAGTAGGGCTGTGGCTGAATTAATCACCATGGCCAGATGATTTGACCAGCAGTGCCTTCACCATGAAGCCTCCCAAGTCCTCCAAGGGACTGGGTTCTCAGCACTTCCAGACAGATTATTAACCCACATGCAGGGACAGAAATCCTGTGCTTGGGAACCTCCCACACTTCGTTCTGTGTCCATCTTCATCTACAGCCTTCAAAATACCCTGCACAAGGCCTTAGAGTCCCCAGAGGACTTGAAAACATCCACGGGACCAAAAGAGAAAACTTTCCCCACACCTAGAGTCTGCAAACTTCCACACAGGGCAGATCGAGTGGCCAGTCAGCGATCACTCACCCAAGTCTAGCCCAAGACACATTACAACCAAGTGCTCAAAGGTGAGACAAGGGGTTCTCAGGGCTACAAAAGAAAACAACACAGAGGGGTGCCCGATCTGCCAGCCAGCAGCCAGCCAGCAGACCGCTCACAGAGGCTCTACAGGCTGGGGGAGCGGCAACTGATGTTCACAGTGCAGAAGGAAACGTGTCTGCCAGGAACACTGCCACCAGACACATCCTACAAGAAACACTAAAGGGAGTCTAGGCTTGGGGGCAGAGAGCTTGCCTCATATGCATGGGGTCCTGGATTCCATCCCAGTTCTAAAATGAAAAGAAAGTAAAAGGAAAGGTGAAAAGACCGATGAAAGAAAGAGACGCTAATGAAGGAGAAGAAAGCATGTGGCTGGGCATAATGCCACATGCCTGCCACCTCACACTTGGCAGCCGAGGCAGGAGGATCAAGCATTGGAAGGTAGATGGGTACACACGGTGAGACCTTCTCTTGGATAACAGAAATGCAAGGAGAGGGGAAGGAAGGAGAGGATGGACAGGAAGAGAGGATGGATAGAAAAGAGAGACGAATGGGAGGGAGGAGAAACAGGGGGAGGAAGAGGATGAGAAGGAGAGGAGGAGGAGGAGGAGAACAAAAGAGGAACTTCAATAAAACTAGAAAGCCAGTTACAAAGTGGTCATCGTTTCTATGGTTTCCAGTTTCCAGTCTATCTGCAGATAATTATCTTGAATGTAAATGGATTAAATTCTCCCATTAAACATAGAGCAACTGAAGCAGGAGAAGTAACCAAGAACCAATCATATGTTGCTTTCAAGAAACTCACTTTACATGGACTGAAAGTGAAGATATTCTATGTAGGAACCAGAAGCATGGTAGAGCACCAGCTGTGAGCAAAAAAACGATTGAGAGCATGAGGCCCTGAGTTCAAGCCCCACTACCAGCACACACACAGAGATATTCCACATGAGTAGAATCCAAAGGAAGCTGGAGTAGTCATACTTATATGAAACTCAAAACATAAAACAGTCAAATGAGATCAGAAAGTCTTTATATAGTGATAAAGGGATCAAGTCAGCAAAAGAAAATATTAACTCTAAATATGTGTGTGTGTATATACACATGTGAACAATACTAGGGCACTCAAATATACAAAGCAAACATCTATAGAAATAAAGAACAGACTCCAGTAATGGATGGATCATCCAGACAGAGAACTGGAAAACATTAGAATTAAACTGTGTCCTACACCAAATGGACCAAATGCAAACCTACAGAAAGAAGATTCCATCACACCTTCTCACAAACACACAGAAGGGTCTCTAGTATAGATTGTATGTTAGGGACAAAACAAGCCTCCCCCTCGCCCGCCCCCCTCAATGCAAAAAGTGTTGTTGCTGGGGATCAAACCCAGGGACTTATGATCTGATCTGTGCTCCATTCTATTTATTCACGTGCTTACATCTTTTCCCGGTACTTGGGTTTGGACACTGAGCCTTAAGCTTTGTTAAGAAGGTACTCTACCTCTGAGCCACACCAGCAGCTCAAAACAAATTAAAACAGCAGCAGCAGCAGCGACAACAACACTGAAATCACACTGTTTATCTCTGTTCTGGCCATGCCGCAATTGAAGTAGAAATCAATCACAAGTTAAAACTACAGACAGAAATCACATGACTCACTCCTGAACACCAAATGGATGGAGGGGAAAAAGCAAGCAAGAAACTGAAACATTTCTCTAAACAAACGAAAATAGACACAGAACACACCAAAACTAGAGACAACAAAAGCAGTCCTAAAAGGGGATTTTATAGCAATCAACACCACATCAAAGACCATGAGAATGTCTCAAATGAAAAACCCACCACTGCAGTTCAAGGCAGTAGGAATACAAGAACCAAACCCAAAATTAGTAGAAAGGAAGAAATAACAAAGATCAGAGTAGAAATAAGTGAAATACACTAAAACATACAGAAAATACCAACAAAGGAAAGAGTGTAGTCTTCAAAAGATAAAACTGACAAACCCTCAGTTAGACTAAGAACAAAAGGGGGATGAGGTAAATAAAGTCAGACTTGTAAACAAGACAAACTGACACCAGAAAAAATAAAAAGACACTCACCTAACCAAGATTGAATCATTATACAATGGAAAAACCTCATGAGACCAGTAACAAGTAATAAAATCAAATCAGATACTGTCTCTCATCAAAGAAAAGCCCAGGGCTAAACAGCTGAATTCTTTAGGATTTAAAGAATGAATACAGATTCTTCTTCAATTACCCTGGATAATGAAAAGACTTGTGAACACATTCTCTGAGGCCAGGCTCCCACTGATACCTGAAGTCAAGCACTGTACCACAGCAGTAGCAGAAAGGAAGTTGTAGACCACAGGCGAGCACAGATACAAAAGGGTTCAAGACAATAGTAGCTGAGTCAGCCAGAAAGAGGAATTCACTCCAGGAATGCAAGGATGGCTCAACAATAACTCTCTCTCTCTCTCTCTCTCTCTCTCTCTCTCTCTCTCTCTCACACACACACACACACACACACACACACACACACAAACATGAAACACCACATCAACAGAATGAAGGACCAGAACCACAATCATTTCAACAGGTGCATAAAAGGCATTTGATAAAATTCAATACAACTTTCATGACTAAAAACAAGTATGAAAGGAACACAGCTCAACATGACATAGGTCATTTACAACAAGCCAACAGCCAACATGGTATAGAATGGGTAGCATGAGGAACTTTTCTCTGGGGCCAGCAACAGAACAAGGTGCCCACTTCTGACACTTTTGTTCAATGCACTGCTGCAAGTCCCAGGCAAGCAATCAGGCAAGACAGAGTTGATAGAGGACACTCAGAGCAGAAAAGTGGAAGTCAGGCTGTTACTGTTTGCAGATGACAGGATCTCATATAGAGAAAACTCCAAAGACTCCACACAACAACCCTTAGAGCAAATGAGCAAATTTAGCCAAGTTGCAAGATACAAAAGCAGCATATAAAAGTTAGTGGCACTGCTCTACACCAATAGTGAATTTTCTGAAATAGAATTTTCAAAAAGCAACCTTATTTATAATAACAACCAAAAGTCCTAAGATACCTAGGAATAAATTAATGGTGGAAGATTTAACCAAAATTTCAACAATGAAAGCTGAGAGCTATTGCTGAAGAAACTGACGGGGACACACGAAAGGAAAGATTTCTACGGGCCACAACAACCAACATTGTGAAATGTCCATTATTATTATTATTATCCAGAGCAATGTATAGATCCAATACAATCTCTATCAGAACGCCAATGACGTTATTCACAGAACTAGAATAAATGTCCTAAAATGTATATGGAACCACAAAAAAAAAAGAAATAGCCAAAGCAATCTTGACTAGATAGGTAGGTGTAAGGCATTATAATTACCTGACTCTGAAATATAACGTTGTCATCAAAACAGAATGATAGGGGCTGGGAAGGTGGCTCAGTGGTAGAGCGCTTGCCTTGCATGCTCAAGGCCCTGGGTTCGATTCCTCAGCACCACATAAGAAAAAAGCCGGAAGTGGCGCTGTGGTTCAAGTGGTAGAGCACTAGCCTTGAGCTGAAGAGCTGAGGGACAGTGCCCAGACCCAGAGTTCAGGCCCCAAGACCGGACCCAAAACAAAAACAAACAAAAAAAAAAACAGAATGATATTAGCATAAAACTGATCCAGATAAATGAGACAGGACAGAACCCAAAAGTAAACCCACAGATCTACAACCAACACTTTTTTTTTTTTACAAGAATGTTAAGAACATCCTGTGTTCTAAACATTGGAAATCAGTCTTTCCAATAAGTAGTACTGGGGAAATTGTGTATCCATGTATGAAAGAATGAAGCTGGACCTTTCTCATCAGTTGCAAACACCAATGAAAGACCCACAGCTACAAACAAAAATGTAGGGGAAATGAAAGGTGCCCTACAACCACTAAGAAAACATGAAGAAAATAACTCAAGACATTGGAATGAATGAGGATTTCTTTTGGACAAAACAAGGCAAATGCAAAGACATCAAACTATAAAAGCTTCTGCACTACAAAGAAACCAATCACCAGACGACACACACGGTCTACAGAATGAGAGAAAAATCTTTGCAAACTACCCATCTGACAGAGAGCTAACATCCAGAATCTGTAAGAAACGCAAAACAGTCTCAAGAGCAAAAAGTAAATAATAAAACCAGCATTTAAAATGGGCAATGGATTTAAATAGACATTCCTCAAAAGGAAAAGCCTAACAACTCTATGAACACAGGTCCGATGTCATTAATCATCAGGGAAATACAAATCAAGCCCACCACAAGGTATCATCCCATTCCAGCAGAAATGGCTGTTATTCACCAGGGCCTGCAAGGAAATGGTGGTGCACTGTTGCTAGGGTTTGTTTGCACACTCAGCAAACGTGGAACAATACGGAGTTTCCTCCAAAGAAGACAGGAGTTCCCCACCCCACTGGGTAGACACTGGGTATTAGCCAAGCCCTGATGGGGTCTGTGTCCCTGCAGATTAGCGTCACCGCTGAGATGAGCAGAGGTCTGACTACTGTGGAGTCTGCTTCCTGGGCTTCAGCCCTGGCCCTGACACAAGAGCAGTGGCTCCTCTTAGCCTCAGTTTCCCCATTCGTGAAGTGGAAGGCACCATACATATGTGATGTTCAGCAAGGAAGGGTGGGTGCTGGGCCACAATCTCCACACACACCCACATACCCACACCCCTCCACGCCCTCATGAATGGGGAGGGTCACGCCCTCGTCTGTGTAATGGGAGAAGGGTCAGCTCCTCACTTCCTCAAAAAGATCCATGCGCAACAGGTCCCAGTCCTCCAGCAGCGCTGATGCTAAAGGTCTAGGGTATCTCTACTGGGAAGGAGGACCCACTCACCAGAGGCCCGGGACCCCCCAAAGGGCTGCTGGCCCACTACTGCGCCAGTGGACTTGTCGTTGACATAGAAGTTTCCGGCAGCGTTCCTCAGCACGGTTCTGGCCTCCTGGACGACATCCCTAGGAGGTAGGGCTGTGGTCAGAGCGTCCCCAGCCCCTCTGCCCCTCCAGCCCCGGGGCCCAGATCCAGCCTCTACCCTACTGCCCTTCCTGGCTTTCCAGCTCAGCTTGAGGCCGCACCTGGGCAGGCTGCTGGCCATGCAACATGACCTCTGAGCCTCAGCATCCTCTGGGAAGGGGGAAGCCCTGCTCCCCACAGGAGGCTGACTCGGGGGTCAGAATGCCTGAGCCAGCAGACTGGCTTGGCCAGAACGACCCCCAGAACCCTTCTTCCTGGGTTCGAATCCCACCACTTCCTCTTTGTCCCTCAGACACAGTGGCTCCCGTGCTACAGAGGACAGAGGACACCCAGGGCATCCAGCAGACCTGCCTCTCCCTGGCCTGCACACCCCACTTCTGCTCTGCACACACGGCCCCATGGGGCCCAGGAAGCCAGCCACAAACTCTCCATGCCTGGGCTCTAGAGACTCAGGCAAACGTGGGCTCCAGGGGGCCCAACATCTGTATTTGTACCGAAGAGCTGAGATGCCTATGCTACTTGCCTGCCCATCACACAGGGGACAGGGGAAGGGAGGGAGAGCAGGCAGAGGGGACAGGGGAAGGAGAGCGGGCAGGGACAGGACAGCAGGACCAAGGCTCCAGGGCTGCGGCCACTCACTTATCCTGAGCAAACACTGCCCCCGTGAGGCCATAGCTGGTGGTGCTGTCGACCAGCTGCAGGGTCTCCCTGAATTTGTCATCAGGGTAGACGTACACGGTCAGCACAGGCCCGAAGATCTCCTGGGGGAGAGGCTGGGTCAGGTCCTCCCCAGACCCCTCCCTGCCCCCCAGCAGCCACCCTGGGCCCGCGCAGAGGGCCAGGGCTGCTTCCTGGTTCCCTCAGGACAGCAGTGTGCCTGGCCATATTACTCACATCCCACAGAACATCCAGAATTTTCTGGTCTGTACAAGGGGCCAGGGCTGGGAATCGAGAGGCTCCTGTGCAGCTGGCATCAGTACCACCTGAGAAGGGCTCTCTTTCCTCAGGGCTCCTTGGCCTCCAAGAACCTCAGCCCTGCTCCCCAGGCCGGGCCAGGGTCTCCGCCTGGTAAGATTCCACCCCCCCCCCCCCCCCGTCACCTCCTTCATGATGGGGTCCTGCGGGTCCTTGCTCTCCACGATGCAGGGCTCCACAAAGTAGCCCACGGAGTCGTTGCACGCGCCCCCCGCCAGGATGGTGAGGTTGGGCGAGGAGCGGGCGTGCTCCAGCCACTTCTTGATGCGGGCAAAGGACTGGGGGTGGGGGAGGTGGTGTCACAGACAGGCCGGGGTGCAGCCCCCAGCGCTGAGGGGAAGAAGGGGCGGGCTGGAGCTCCAGGGAGCCCTTTCCAAGGCTGCAGCAGTGCTGGGAGACCCCAAGCCAGAGACCCCCCGAGACCCTCCCTGCTCCCGGCTGGCCCCTAGGCCCTGGTTCCACACCTTGGCGTCAATCACTGCAGAGAAGAAGGTCCCGAAGTCCTCTGCTGGCTGGAAGGGAGGGGGGAGAAGGGGGGTGAGACCAGGGGGCTCCCTCCCTGTGCCCCCCCTGCAGAGCCTGGGGAGCTGGCACACAGAGCCTCCCGCTGGGCGGCAGCCGCTGCTCACATCGCCCACTTTGATCCCGCGGAGCTCCTCCAGCAGCCGCCCTTTGATCTGCGGCCACAGGGAGGCGGGCGCGTAGAGGCGGGAGCAGGCCGAGCACTTCTGGCCACCATACTCGAAGGCCGAGCGCAGCGTCGCGCTCACCACGCTGTCCACATCCGCGGAGCGGTGCACCAGGTGGAAGTTCTTCCCGCCACACTCTACAGGGGACGGGAGCGGGGAGATTCAGGACGTGACTAGGGTTGGGGGGGTCCTGCTGGCCCCAAACCCAGCCACAAACCCTGACCAGGAGATTCGGGAGGGGCAGAGATGGGGCGATGCCCCCCGGACCGCACCCCCAACCCACAGGTGGGAAAAGAGGCCGGGTGGGGGGCAGACACTGGAAGTCACCAGCTCCAGGTCATCGCCATTACTCTTCCCATTTGAAAGACAGGGGTACCGAGTGGAGCTGGGGCTCCAGCGCCCAGGCCCTGGCATCAGAGGCCTCGCTCTTGTCAGGGGGCCGGAGGGAGGGGCGCTGAGAACAGGGACCACCACCTCTGCAGAGGCTCCCATTCACATCAAAGATGGGTCTGGAAGCCAAGTAGCACAGCCGGCCCCTCCGGACCTCCTTCCTGACACCCCAACCGCGTTCCAGCCGGCTTAGGTACGGGGTCTAGACCCCTCCACGGGCCCAACCGGCTGCCAGTGGCTGTGCCTCACACAGCCCTTCCCCACACTTCCCCAAGACGTGCTCCACAGACGCCTGGTTCTTGCGGCCTGTACACAAGGGGTCCTACGGCCCCTTGGAAAGCACAGCACGGCTGCTATTTCCCACGAGTGTGCAGTGGTTAATCAGAGAGCATTAAAGGCCCTGAGAACTCCTGCAGAAGAATCTATAGGCTTGAAGCAGATACTTGGCATCTCTCGGTGAGGAGGTCCAAACAGAGCCCGGCAGCCCCCAGCCCACTTCATTTCTTCACACCCAAGCCCCTTCCCAACATCCGCTGCTTTCACACTTTCCACGGCTCACGCCTGGAAGAGGTTGGGGGGGGCTTACCTCCGGCCAGGCGTGGGAAGGTGTGGAACCTGTCCAGGTTCTGGGCAACCTGCTTCCACAGGTGTTTGAAGGTCCTGGAACCAGAGGATCGGGCGGGGGGTCAGGAAGCCAGGCTTAGCCAGTGGAGGATGGGGGCGGGGACTGGCCCTACCAGAGGCAGGGGCTGAAAAGCTCCAGGGCCAACAAGCCAGAGGGAGGGCAGGGACCCAGTGGTGGTGGGCTGGAGATGCTGGTAGATACCCAAGGCTATGTGATCTTGGGTTAATCTCTTAACCTCTCTGAGTCCCAATTCTGTACCTCACCTAGGAACTGAGGGACAAGCCTGTGTAGCAAGACTGTTCTGCGGTGAGCCCCGATGAGGGTCAAGGACACATGCTACACCTCACGCCCCCCAGTGCTGGGGCCCTAGAGGCCAGAGGAGGAGGCTCGGGGGAGGGAGATGGTCCGAGAAGCTGGAGCCCGGGGGCGGGGGACGGTCCGCAGAGCTGGCGTCCCAGGCCTCCTCCCAGGCTTGGACTGTGACCAACCTCAGCGCCACAAAACAATAAAAATGCTAATCACCCCGGAGCCGACTTCACAGTCCCTAATACTAATTTATGACTTTCCCAGCTTTAAGCCCCACAGCTCATCAGAGCGTGGCAAATGGAGGCCGGGCCGCTAACAGGCAGGGACCCCAGGGGCCGCCCGTGGCTGGCAGAGCCGGCCTTTCGGGAAACAGCCCTGCTCAGCAATTCTGACACTGGCAGATCTCCCCACTCCCCCCCGCCCCCCCCCCCCCACCACCTCCAACACTGAGCAGGGAAGGGGCCCGTAGAGCCCGAGGCCAGGCCGGGCAAGGAGGAACACTACACCCAGCCCAAGCAAAGGCTCCTGGGACCGGCGGCCACCTTGGGCACTGCACTCAGAGGCTCGTCCAGCCTCAGCCAAGCCCCCTCGCCCTGTGTCCACCCTTGTGAGCGATGGCCCTTCGCTCAGAGCCTGCTGGCTCCCGTGGACCCCCAGACACGCCTGGCCCCCACACAGGCGCTGCTCTGAGTCCCACCAGGTCCAGGCCATGTCCTCCCCTGGCTACTATGCACTAACCAGTCAGTACCCAGGACAGAGCATGGCGGGGTGGGCGGAGCCTGCGGTGGGGCGGAGTGGAGCCAGAGACACAGAGACAGAGTACTGCCTGTGACCAGCGGGCTGGCCACAGGGAACGCAGGCCAGTGGCAGAGCGGCCAGGCGCTCGGGGAGGGTGGCATTTGCATTCTACATGAACCGTCGCCACACACAGGGCTGTGGCGTCACAGGCAGAGTGCCCAGGGCAGGCATGGCAGGGGCCACGCCAGGGCCACTGTGCACAGCATCGGCCGCTGCCTGCTGCTAAAGCCTTCTGCAGCCCCGGTGCGTCCCCAATAAAGTCCAGAGGCCTCTGGGGTCTGGGAGTCCGTGGACAAATCCCCCGGAAGGCAGCCAGGGAGCGGGGCATTGGCCTTGCCCCTCACTCACTGCCAGTCTTAGCGGGATCAGGAAACTCCTGCTGAGTCAGTGGGGGTGCATGGGGAACCCCAGAACTCCAGCCACAGGGCTCAAGTGCACCCCAGAGCACATCCCCACTCCCCAGCTTCCTTCCCGCCTCCTCCCCCAGGCAGCCCATCCCCATGCGACTCACGGCACACTGCCTGTGAAGTTGATGCCACAGAGGTGCTCCGAGCTGGTCACAGTGTCCCCGAACACGGGGCCATCCGCTGGCACAAACTGGATGATGTTTGGGGGCAGGCCGGCCTCGCGGAGCACGCGGTAGACGGCGTAATTGGCCAGCATGGCGGTGTCGCTGGGTTTCCACAGGACCACGTTGCCCTGCAGGAGGGGGTAAGCGTCATGCACAGGCCCAGCCCATGGCACGGGCATCCCTCACCGGGGACCACCATCGTTGTCTCTCCGCCCCCCGCCACAGGAACCCAGAGTCCTCACCCTGAGGCCCTGGTTCCGCTCCTCAGCCCCGACTCTTTCTCGGGGAGCCTGTGCCCCATTCTCCATGCTCTGTGCACCCTCTGGACAAGGCCAGTCGAGGGCTCACAGGCCCTCGGGCACATGTCCCGGTTCATGAACCCAGGGAGGGTGGTGCGCATCTGTGCATGCAGACACATGGCACCCACGCTGCACACGTGGGCATCGGCCACCTTGGCTGGCCAGGGCTGAGGCCTTGCCCTCCTCCTGCCCAGGCTGTATGAGGGCTGGCCGCGTGCGTGTGTCCCATTGGACTGGGCGCCTGGTGAGGGCGGCCACTGCACTCCAACTGTGCTGGGGGAGCACCCAGCCCTGAGCCACGTGACCTGCATGTTCACATCCGGTCCACGGTTCACCCTCCAGCAGCACACAGTGGGCGCTGCAGGTGAGCCACCGCCCTGCTGTCCTCGGCCACCAGACCTGCCTGGTGGACTGAGTCCTCACTACCCCACCTCAGAGCTCAGAGACTGTCTGGAACTCCCACAGAGACAACACTAGGATTTGAATCAGGTATCGAGCCTAATGCTCATCCCCGCCCGCTGCCCGCCACTGCACTTCCCAGTGTCCCACGGTCCTCACCATCAAGGCCGGCGCCCCCGCCAGGTTGCCACCGATGGCGGTGAAGTTGAAGGGTGAGATGGCGGCCACGAATCCCTGGGGAGGAAAGAGCCAATGAGGCCTGGCCGGCGATTTCCAGCACCCCCACGGCCTCACCGCCTGCCCGCCGGTACCTCCAGCCCCCGGTACACCATGCTGTTGGTGCTGGGCGGTGTGCTGATGGGCTGCTCCCCCTCCAGCTCCATGGCGAACTTGGCATTGAATCGGAAGAAGTCGATGAGCTCAGCGGCGGCGTCTATCTCAGCCTGGATCACTGTCTTAGCCTGCAGCGCAGGGGAGGTGGCTCAGCCGCAAGACGGCCACCGTCAGCCCTCCCCCCATCGCAGCACGGAGCCGGAGCCGGGCTCCAGAAGGGGTGGGAAACCTGCAGTGGGCTGACCTCGAGCCTAGGCTGGAAAGGACCCCAGTTCTCAGGCACCTGAACCTCAACCCCTGAGATCTCTTCTAACTGCTAGGGGCCCTCCTGGCCACCTGGGGTCCCCGGCAGGTGCACAGTTAGGAGTACTGGGCCAAGGAAGCCGAGCTAAGATGTGCACCTTGCTTTCTGAAGCCAAATAAAGAGAGAACTCAATCTGACCACAGTTGGCCTGCAAACCTCGGCACCCAGACCCAGAGACAACAGCCAGTATGGGGTGTGCAGCTGTCACGCCACCTCCACTCAGCAAAGGGCGCTCCCGGCCTGGGCACAGGGAGCAGGCAGGAGCCAACCGTCAGACCCACTTGGCAGGGATGGCACCCTAAACTAAGCTTCTAAAAATAGCAACACTAGCTGAGCGTCGGTAGCTCATGACTGTCATCCTAGCTACTCAGTACAAGAAGACTGAGATCTGAGGGTCGTGGTTCAAAAGCCAGCCCGGGCAGGAAAGTCTATGAGACTCATCTCCAATAAACCACCAGAAAACTGAAAATGGCGCTGTGGCTCAAGTGGTAGAGTGCTAGCCTTGAGCTGAAGAGATGAAGGACAGCGCCCAGGCCCAGAGTTCAAGCCCCACGACAGACAAAAAAAAAAAAAAAAAGTCAAAACTGACCCTTTCCTCCATCCCTTCCTCGCCATTAATGAAGAACTTCCAGGGTTGTGTGGTTCCGTTGGTAGAGCGCTAGTCAGTGAGGGAAAGCAACAGGTGCCAAGTTCACGTTCTGGTCTCATACATTTTTTTAAAAATGGTGGAGAAAAGGGGAATAAAAACATCCTAGGATTCTAAAAGACCTCATGGAAACCCCAGAGAAAGCATCCCGAGGCTGGTGGGAGCTGCAGGATCCAGGAGGCGGAGTGAAGGCCCAGGGCAACTGCCTGTCAAACCTGACAAAGGCCCTGATGGAGTGGAGCGAGGCAGAGCAGGGGAGGGACCAGTCTGTGCAGGAGGCACCGTTTATAGTCTGCCTCCTCTGGAAGTTTCCATTCCTGAATCCTAGCTCCTAGGCCTTGTCTCTGAGGATACCTCCAGGGCTCCAATAGCGCTAGCACCCAGAGCGTGATGGGACCCGGACATCTTCCAGTGCTGAGCCTGGGCCCTCAGCCCTTAGCCCCTCACCTGCCCCAACATGGTCTTGGCCAGGACCTCAGCCCTGCGGGGCCCGCTCAGGAGATCGGCTGCCTTCAGGAAGATCTGGGCCCGGTCTGCGAGGGGCTTCAGGTCCCACTCTTTCCTGGCAGCCAAGGCAGCCTGGATGGCTTTGTTGAGCAAGGCCTGAAGGGAGAGACAGAGGTCAGGGCTGCCCCCAGCACCGGAAGGGCCCCGGGGGAAGGAGAGGGAGGAGAGAGGGAAGGCCACTCCACCGTCACCCGGCCTGGCCCCACGGCTGCAGACAGCATGCCCGTCCACTGGCTGCTCCCCACGCAGAGCCTGTCCTGCTGTCAGCCTGGGTTCTCAAGGACCTAGTCAGCTGACCAGCGTAAGGAGGCCTTGCCCCCTCGCTCATGGTCCAGGCCAGGGCTTATCTTATTCTTGGGCCCATCGGCCTGTGAATCTACCATCCACAGGTTCAACAGGCCCCAGCTTTGGGGGCATCTCTGCACCCTGACACTCCTGCTGCAGATACCCCAGGTTTCCCTCCTTCCCTCCCTTCCTCCCTCTTTCCTATTCTCCCTCTCCTTCTCTCCCTCCCTCCCTCCCCATGACATCAGCTCCCAGGTCCTGCTCAGGCCACTCGGCTCCTGCCCACAGGCGCCCCCGGGTGCCAATCCCTGCTTGCCTTTCCATCTCTGTCCCCAATTGCCCTGACTCAGCCTTCCGGAATCTTTCTCTTCCCCAAGCCAAGTTCTCCTCCATCACAGTGGGCATGTCTGGAGATGTCCCAACCCTGACCAAGGCAGCTCACACTTGGCATCAGTTAACCTGAGCATGTCCAGACCTGTCACAGACCCTGTCCAGGGACACCCTCAGTGCCAGCAGCCCCCAGCTCATCCCCACCCCCCTCAGTGCCAGCGGCCCCAGTCCACCCCCAGGGCCGGGAGCCACTGAGCTGTACCCTCACTTGAACAACCGGCAGCCCAGTTGCAAACAACCCCGCCCAAGTCACCGGACTCACCTTGTCTGCATAGCAGAACTTGGCTACCTTGTGTCTGTGGTTAAAGGGCTGAAAAGAAGAGAGAGGTGGGTTCACGTGGGCACTGTGCCCCTGCCCTGCCTCTCCCCTGAACAGCACTGGGCACTGCCCTGCCTCTCCCCTGAACAGCACTGGGCACTGCCCTGCCTCTCCCCTGAACAGCACTGGGCACTGCCCTGCCTGTCCCCTGAACAGCACTGGGCACTGCCCTGCCTCTCCCCTGAACAGCACTGGGCACTGCCCTGCCTCTCCCCTGAACAGCACTGGGCACTGCCCTGCCTCTCCCCTCGTACAGCACTGCACCCCTGCCCTGCCTCTCCCCTGAACAGCACTGGGCACTGCCCTGCCTCTCCCCTGAACAGCACTGCACCCCTGCCCTGCCTCTCCCCTGAACAGCACTGGGCACTGCCCTGCCTGTCCCCTGAACAGCACTGGGCACTGCCCTGCCTCTCCCCTGAACAGCACTGCACCCCTGCCCTGCCTCTCCCCTGAACAGCACTGGGCACTGCCCTGCCTGTCCCCTGAACAGCACTGGGCACTGCCCTGCCTGTCCCCTGAACAGCACTGGGCACTGCCCTGCCTCTCCCTGAACAGCACTGGGCACTGCCCTGCCTGTCCCCTGAACAGCACTGGGCACTGCCCTGCCTCTCCCCTGAACAGCACTGGGCCCCTGCCCTGCCTCTCCCTGAACAGCACTGGGCACTGCCCTGCCTCTCCCCTGAACAGCACTGGGCCCCTGCCCTGCCTCTCCCCTGAACAGCACTGGGCACTGCCCTGCCTCTCCCCTGGTACAGGATGTGAGCACTGCGTGCTTGCCTCGGTTGGCATGGAGAGTAAGACCAGGGGATTATGGACAAGTTCTTCCAAGCCAGGTCCAGCATAGGTCCACCCGAGGTTTCATTCACCAAGGACCCAGGCTTTACTCTCCCCATTGAGACCTGGGAGATTCCTGGTCTGCCTGAAGTGTCTGTCCGCCTCTGAACGGACAAACTCCAAGCAGGGAAACGGGGCCCAGCCCTCTGCGTCAGCCTCCACACCCCCGTGAGCCCCAGCAGGCACAGAGGCGATGTGGGGCCCCTCCTGGCCCTTCTAGCCACAGACAGGACTTGGGGGCTGGACACGGTGTCCTTGCAGTTGGTTCATGGCTTTAGAATCCTGTGAGAGCCATGGCCAGCAGAGGAGCCGAGGCAGAGCCTAAGGGCTCCATGGGAGCGGGGGGGGGGGGGGGGGGGGTCAGGGGGAGGGAGAGGAAGTGGGGATGCCTGCCTGCTCTCAGACCTCAGACGTACCGACACCTGGTACCGGATGTCCGATGTCCACACCTCCTCGTCCCCTACCACACACGGGATGGCTTCTGTATGGCCCTTCAGGTCCTTCAAGGCCTGTGGAGGGAGGGACAGGTGGGTGGGAGGGCACTCTGGTCCCCCTCCCTGAGGTGGGGAGTGTAAGCAGCACTGCCCAGGGGAGGGCCAGGGGAGGGAGCATGCCCCCCTCAGCCCCGGTCACAATGCAGGAAGGTGAGCCAGGGTCGCCAGCTCTTCCTATGCCAAAGATAAAGCCCTGCATGTGAAATGTGCCCAAACTCTCACGACTGCTCAAAGCTGGGCAGTGACCTCTACAGGCTTAGTACTCAGCACCTGCTCAGCGTCTCCACACAGGGCTGGGGCAGGGTCAGTATCTGGGGGCGGGGGCTGCCCCTGCCCCAGGCCTGCACCCTCCGCGCCCACCCATTCCCCAGTTACCTTCTGCAGTGCGTCTCGCTCAGGGCTGCCGGAAGTGAAGGCCAAGATGGGCTCATTGGCCACCTTCAGCGGGGAGGCATGCTTCCACCGCAGCCTGGACACAAAGCCAGAGCAGAGGACAGGTCAGCAACCACCACTACCACATGCCTCTTACAGAGTCCCAGGCTAGCTCAGAGGCCTGAAACCGAAGGAAAACACAGGGCCTGCAAGAGAGAAACGGGCCCAGGGTCCAAGACGCAAGTCCTCCCTCTGCCACTGTGGCCCCTGGGGTATGTGACTTGCGGCTCTGAGCTGATTTCTACAGCTGTCACACAAGAACGATCCTACCAAACTCATACAGTGGTCTGTCGTTTACATGCACAACTGCAAAACAATGCTGATGTGCACTCCACACACAGAGGGCTCCTCCGGCCCCCGTCACTCAGCGTGAGCCTCTGAGACTCTCATGGCGACACCAATGCACTGCAGGTGGTCAGGGCGTGCAAATGAGGAAGGCCACTGAGGCCCCTTCCCAGGGACAGGGAGGGTGGCTGGGGTGGGGGTCGGTCCGGAACCGCTTACTTTGACCAGGCACTGGCTAGGCACTGGAGCCGGGTGATGGAGGCCAGGCTTTGTTCCAAGCGGGGTGTTGTTCTCCAGCGGGAGCAGCCAGCCCCCCCACACCCCCCACTCCAACTCAGCGACAGTCCCGGGCACAGTGTGGGTGGAACAGTGACCCCGGTTTTATTTGTGTTTAGAACACATAACGAAAGGACTCTGTGCTTCATTTTAGTGCGGTCTTGGAGCAGGCCGTCGGCTGGCGTTCTCTGAGCCTGCGTGTGCTCAACAGGACCAGGGCCTGGCCATGGGAGAAGGGGACCAGGAGAATTTAGGCCAAAAGGTTTTCATCTTCCTAGAAAGGAGTCGGGGCTCACAGAGCCCCTCAGGAGGCCTGGAGAGAAGTGCAAAGCGGGGACCATGTGGGCAGACAGGCCCCGAGATCACTGCATGAGCCCCCCCACCTGCTCCCTACTTTCCAGACTCCACAGAGGGGCAATGTCCAAGACAGAAACACACGGGACAGTTACACAAGGGGCCCAAGGAGGGGACTGAAGGAGGGCGGTGGCAGGAGGGCTGTGCAGGAGGTGACCAGCAACGGACACTGGAAGGAAGCTGAGGCCAGACCTCAGGGAAAATGCATTTCAGGAAGAGGACAGGGTGGGCGCCATGGCCAGGAGGCACAGGAGCAGTCACAGGAGCCTGAGGCCAGCGAGACCTCAGAGCAGGACTCAGAGTGGGAAGGGAGCGCGGACCGCTTCCCCTCCACCGCCACCCCAAGAGCTGAATTCCTCAGCCCCACCTTCCCCAGGCTGCGGTGGGAAGAGTGGACAGGGACAGATCTGTGCTGTAATCCAGCCCTGCCTCCCGCCAGCTATGTGACCCTGGGCAAATCACTGTCCCTCGTAAAAGGGTGAGGCCTGGCATGCTGGCACCAGAGGTCTGACACAGCTAAGACCGAAAAGCATTCCATTCTTCCACCTGAGGAAGAATGAAGGCGTCCTGAGTCTGAGAGCCTGAGGAAGCAAGTGTCTGCCTCCTGGGACAATCTGGAAGGTTCCAGTTGGGCTCTAGGCTAGGTGGGACTCCATGCAGATGAGTCCACTGCGGCCCTCTGTGGGACGGGGCTGCTAGTGTGTGGTGGGCAGGAAAAGCCAGGCTCCAAAGCAGACACACATGCACACATGCTCAGGATTGCAGCCTGTGATCCTTCAGAACCTGTTGGGACAGCACTGAGTGCCAGACAGGGACGCTCTTTCAGATCGCTGGCCAGGAAAGCAGATACCCAGAGAACTCCACAGAGCCATCACACTGGCGGCGGGCGGGGGGGGGGGGGGGGGGGGGGGGAGGGGGTGGAGAGGATAGAGAGAACACTAGATTCCAACTGACTTCCCAGCTCTGCTTTCCCTGTTTCCAAATCTGTGGCCTTCTACTGAGAGGCCCCCTGTGACCCCAGGATCACATGAGCTCATGGTTTTCTCTGAGCCTACAAAGTCTCCTGGCCTTGGCCAGGTGTGTCCAACCATCAGAGTGTAGCTAGAATACACTAGTTCAAAGTTCAGCCTCAGCTGACTATAGCCAGAAATAAGCCAGGCACCCCAGGAAAACTCTGGCTCATGGGCCATTTAGTCTTAACATGAGCACGGCTCCCATCGGCTTAGGAAGGCGGAGGTGATCATTCACCAGACCGGGCCTCTGGGCAGGACTGCACCCCTCATTTGTTCCTTCCTGCAGCCAGCTCTCATTTATCCACGTGGCGGATGGAGATCAGTGGACAGAGGCCACCCACAGTGTCAGTACCACCCACCCATTGATGTCCCGCCCGTTCGCTGAGCTCAGGAGGGCCTGGCTCTGGGGTGCAGACTTGACGCAGGCTTCAGTCCTCTGCTGTGGAGCGGATCTGACCCCAACCTAGATTCCCCTCACACATTCTGCTCTCCTGGGGACCCCACTGCCGGGGGCCTGGGACTGACACTGCCCCTCCCACCCTCTGCAGATACTGGGAGGGGAGGGTGCTTGCAAAGGGTGGAGCAGTAGGAGATGGCAGGCGTGCTGGGAGCTGGGAACCTAGAGGGGAAAAGCAGAAGAGAAAGCAAAGAGGCATCCTGCAGCCCCCTCTGCCCGCCCCAGACAGCGGTGCTAAAGCAATAGCCCGCCCCTAGGCCACCTTCCCTAAGCCACTCCACAGCCCCACCACACGTAACAAGCAGGGTGCATTCTGGGAGACAGGTCAGGTGTGCCACGTCACTGGGGCGGCCTCTGCGTGCAGGGGGCTGTAACCACCACGGAGGGAGGGGGGTGCTGGCGCCCTAGGCCGTGCTGCTTTATGATAAACTTCTTTTTCTTTTTGAGACAAGGTCACATCATGTTACCCAAGCTGGCCTTGAATTCAAGACCCCCCTGCCTCCACCTTCCAAGTTCTGGAACACCCTTTCTGCTTATGTGGGGACCCCACAGCTATGGCCTGGGACACATCACCCTGTGGCCAGGGCGGTAACAGGTAGATACCACCACACCTGGCTAAACTAACTTCTCTGTCTCCTTCCTTCCTTCCTTGCTTCTTTTCTCTTTCTCTCTCTCTCTTTCTTTCTTTTCTTTCTTCCTCCCCCTCCCCCTTTCCTTGCCAGGCACTGGTGGCTCATACCTGTAATCCTAGCTATTCAGGAGCTGAGATCTGAGGACTGAAGTTCAAAGCCAGCAAATCTATGAGATTTTTTTAATCTCCAATTTAAAAAGCTGCAAGTGGAGCTGTGGCTCAAGTGGTAGAGCACCAACCTCAAGCAAAAAAGGCTAAGGAACAACACTCAGGCCTTGAGTTTAAGCTCCAGTACTGGCACGTGTGCACGCGCATAACACATACACACACACACACACACACACACACAAAGATTAAGAAAAGACTAGAAGGAGAATAGCAGAAGATAGAAAATGTATAACACAGTAACACACAGTGGCTTGTTACCACTACGGAGTGTGAGGCGCTGAGCATGGCCATGTGCTCTGCTCAGTCCCCTGGCAGTGGAGATGGGCGGGGAGGGGGGTTTAACAGCAGCTTAGATCACAGACCTGAGGACTGTGTTACACACACTGTGACCAGCCCAGGTTACAACACTGCCAGGCAACTCCAGTTCCCAGCTCCGTCATAATCTCACAGGACCGTGTGTGTGTGTCCCACTGCTGACCAATGCATCACCACATGTGACATGAAGACGTCGCTGCAGGAGACAGCTCAAAACTATTTACTGGCTTCTCACCTCTCTAAAATAAAATTTCAGAGTCCTCACAAGACCATAAACTCCCTCCTCCATAGCCCATTTGCCACAATCCAGCCACCCCATCTTTTCTGTGGCTCTAACCAGGCTGCCTCACACAGCCTGAATGGGGCGCCTGTAGGGTCACAGCCTCAGCTGGGGACAATTGTCATTACAGAGCTGACTGACCTGGTGAGCTCCCACCAGGCCAAAGCTCCATGCAGCGGCCTGTGTCCACTCTGTCCACCACCGACCACCCAGCCTCACGGTCTGCCTGCCTGGCCCACAGGACGGAGTACCTGAGAAAAAGCTCAGCAAGCTTAGGAGGCAGACATGGTGTCAGAGCCAGTGCCAGGCCCCCGGGACCGGACTTGCAGAACAGGGTTCTTTCAACACCACCAGGCTGAATGCAGGTCCCTGAGGTCCCCAGTGGCTGGGGACCGGGGTGGTCAAGGAGAAGAGCTCTAGAAAGGAAATGCTTGGCAGGTGAGCCACCTGCTTCCCTGCTATCTGGGACCTGATAAGACAAATCCTCCTTATCACTGTGATTAGAGGCCCAGCAGGCAGCCAGGGAAAGTGCGAAGTGCTGGGCCGGGTGGGCGGGGCACAGAGCTGGGGGAAGCAGCAAACCCGACTGCCCAAAGGAGCACAGTGAGGAGGGGACTGAGTGAGTAGCACTTGGACAAGCCACCAGGTTCGGGGACCACCTCACGAATGCACCCCACACATGTACAAGGGGGCTGCTCCTAGGACCTGCATTTTACAGATGAGTAACCAGGGCTTCTGAAACGATGCTCCCCATTCATTCTGTTCATTCGTGGCTCACGGTCACAGCATGTTAAGTGACCAGTCAGGATCAGAACCCAGGCCTTCCTCTCTCAGGAGACTCTGTCTGTATGTCCTCCCCCCCCCCCACCGCCCCAGGAGTGGTGGCTAGAAGCTCATTTCTCAGCTGGGGGAGGCTGAGATGGACACTGGCTTGGCTGATGCTGCTTGGCTGTCCATTAGCACTGCCACTCCGCCCAGGGGTCTTTCCCAGTCTATACTGTCAGGTCAGCTAGGAAAGGTCTGGGGACTTTGGAGTCCCCAGAAAGGCCAAGTGTCTGTCCCCTGTCCCCAGCAGAAGCTCTGAGTCTGCCAATGAATTAGAGAGGGGAGGGGCTCGGGGATCTGCGGGCCACAGCCCCTGCCCTTCATAGTTCTTTGGTTGTTCCTCAGTGTTTGCACTCAGGGCTGACACCAGGCAGCCCACTTGGGGGCCAGAGGTTGGGGGGAGTGTGGGTGTGGGGGGGCAGTACTCACAGTGCAGCAGCACTTACTGAGCTCATTTAATACCCATGACTACCCTGTGAAGTGGCCATTGTTATTTTCCATAAGACAACATAAGACAGCACAGAGAGGTTAAGTAACCTGCCCAGAGCCACAGAGCTGCTAGAGGTGTTTTTAGCGCATTCACACTACCACCTATCATGAGGTCAGATGTTGAATTTTTTTCTTGTGATGTCATGTCAGCCCTCAAGAAGCTTTGAATTTTGAAGTATTTCAGATTTGGGATGCTCAGTTTATGCTGGCAGATCAACCCATTTTTATGTTGCTTAAAAGAAAAAGTTAAAAGGGTATAGTCATCAAATAGACAACAGAGGCTATTTCTTGGGATTTCCTTGAGATTATAGGTGATTTTTTAAAATAAGTTTTGTTGCTCTGGCTATATCTTCACAACGGACACATATTAAACACTTTTTTAAAAAAAGACATTACCAAGCATTCTTTAAAAAAAAATGGTTGAGATTCCTGGCATTGAAGGCAAAAAAGGAAATACTACTACTGGTTCCTCAAAAGAGATGGTTTTTACACCTAGGACAATGAACTGTCTCCAAAAGTGAAATTTTCTCCATGCATTCAGACATGGTACATGACAGATGTGTCAAATAAATGGACAAGTGAGCAAAACTCTTAGCTGTTCTAGAATCTGGCTCTCAAATGAGGGTGACAGATGACAACTAGCCAATATCTGAACACCTTTGTTATTGCCAGGATGCAGGGGTTAGGGTGCTACTAGCATCAGGTGGGCAGGGGCCAGGGACGCTGCTGGGCATCCTACAGAGGAGCCGTCCAACAAAGGACAGGCAGCCTGTCCCTCAAGTTCAAGATGCCAGGCTGAGGAGGCCTGGTGGGCTTCTCCAAGGCCAGCTGCACACTGTATTTGGAAGAGGTAACTTCACCTGGGGAACCTCTCCCTCCCCTCCACTCAGGAGGCCTCATAATCAAGAGCAAGAATCGGGAGGGGGACCTACTGTAACTAAGTCTCTGGGGATAGGGCAGACCCCTGTTTCTGCTGCAACTAGATGTCTATCAGCTGCAAGATGGGGTCAATCCGGTGCTTATCAGCTGTGCTTGGTAAATGTTATCTCCGACTTTGCTTTGAGAACATAAGATGGCTTTCTAGCACCTTTTCGAGGGTCCATGTCTGTGCCTTTCCCCCTAGGCTACCCCTGCACAGATAAGCTCAGCAAACCCCTGAACTCCTAAGATGAATCCCACCTGATGGGGCTTCTCCGTGGGGTTTGCAAGAACGAACCTCAGCGTACAGGAAGAAGCCTCACACGGGGCTCAGCCGGCAAGCATGCTGAGCCCCCGTCTGTGTGGGTCCATTTCGGTTAGGAGAGGGGTCCTCACCCCCCCCAACCCCTCCACGTTCTCTTCCCGGGTTCCTCCCCGTCCCTCCCCACTGGGGACGTACAGAGGTGCAACTCACCCACGCCATCCCATGGGGGCAGGGAGAGGGCCACTGATTAACTCAGAAAGGGCACAGCTCAGCTGGGAGGCAGGGACCGCCACGGGCGGGCCAAGGGGCCGGCCAACAAAGCTGGACGGGGCGGGGGGACAGGGGCCGCCGGACCTCGAAGCGAGGCCCGCAGAAACCCCCGCGCCTCCCGCAGGCCCACGCCCCGGGAGCCCCGCGACGCAGGGCCTCCGTGCGGCCGGGGTCGGGACGCCCGGCCCGGGCCCTTCGGGCACTTGTCACCGTGAGAGTGGGCTGAGCCCACCAAGGCGGCCGCTGTCCCAGCGCGGGACGCGGGACGCGGGCCCCGCCCGCCGCACGGGTCCGGGAAGCGGGGGCGGGGCGCGTCCCCTCCGTGTAGGGCACGGGAGGCCGCGACCCGGCGCGGAGCGCAGCCCCGGGGCCGCGCCGGGGACCCCAGCGCCCCGAGGTCCCGCAGGGTTGAGCTTGCGGCGCCGGGGAGGCCCGGCCATTCTCGGGAGCCGGCGGCCGGCGCCGCGCCGACCCGGCCCGGAACGCACTCACCCAACCCCGGTCCAGGCTCGGGCCAGGCGGGAGCAACGCAGGAGGAACGGGCGCGGCGGCGGCAGCATCGCGGCGGGTGCGCGGCGCGGCCCGCAGCGTCGGCCCGGCGCGGTTTGACGGCGTGACCCCGCCCGGAGCGTACCACTCCGCGGGAGGGGGGCTCCCGCCCCGCCCGCCCCGCCCGCCCCTCGACCTCGGTTGCTCCTCGGTCATCGCTCTGCCGCCCCTCAGTCATAGTGCAGTGACACGGCATATGACAAGGGCCTTTCGTGTCACGCGACACAACGGACTCTGGGAGAGAAGTCCTAAACGACACACATTCTCTCCCCCTCTCCTTATGGTATAACCCCGGGGAGAGGGCGTGAGCATGATTGACCAATCAGAGTCAGGGATTGAGGCCCCCGGGCCAATCAGAGGAGCAGTCTGGTTGCAGGCTTCTGGGGCCGGGAAATAGAGGTCTGTGGGAGCCGGTGAGAAAGCAGCCGCGGGACGCGAGCCCAGGCCGGGTGTAGGGTCCGCCGATTCGAACCGGCTGATCCACACCAGCGGTGCCCGGCGGGTTCGCGGCCCTCCTCTCCCGCTGCTTCTCGGCGGGCGGAAGGCTGGAAACCCGCCATCCTCCTAGACGGCTCGACTCAGCAGGCCACGCCCCAGCCAACTTCTGGCCCCAGTCCGAGGCCACTGGCCTGGCTTGAGCCTGCCTGGCCTGCAGCTTTCGGGCCGCAGCGCTGCAGGCCTCCACCGCCCAGCCTGGCGCGGGCCCAGCTCCCGGTCCAGGGACTGCGACCTTCCATGATCTAGTAATACAAGACCAAACCGTAGCTCGTCCGAGCTTGTTTGTCTCTGGCTGCAAAGCCGATTGCTCCGCTCACCCAGGTTAAAGTTTGTGTTCTGCACGAGTTGTTTGATGTACAATCGAACACACTTGTAACCTGGATTCTGGTCTTATCTGATAAGGACGTCTTAGGCACCCATTCTAATCCTAAAATACCGTTAGGATTTCTCTCCCTCGGTTCTAATCATGTGCTTCTGTTTCCTCCAGCAAGGGTGAAAATGAACCTGTCTTGGAGTCCCTCCATATGCTAATTCTGGCTAGAACACTGAGCCAATCTTTGGATCTGTTTCCTCTTCTGTAAAATGGGGGTAGAGGCCCCGCCCAGGGCCCACCAATCTGCTGCAGGAGAAGCTCAAAATGTCATCATCTAAGGACTGTGTGTGTGTGCGCACGCGCGCGGGCTTGGAACCCGAGCTTTTGTTCTAAAAGCTGGCACTCTACTACTCGAGCCACAGTTCCACTTCTGGATTTTGTTGTTGTAGTTGTTAATTGGATAAGAGCTTCATAGCCTCATCTGCCTGGGCTTGTTTTGAATCCTTGGATCCCCATCTCCAGCATAGCTGGGATTACAGGAGAGGGCCACCATCGCTCAGCAAAGGCTACTCTTTTTCCTCCAGATTATATCACTTAACACACTTAAGAAAGTTTAAGCAGAGAATGAGACTTAGGAAAGAAACTACGTAAGTACCAAATCAACTGGCATTGGTATGAGTCACACCAGGTGATCTCAGTTCACGTTGGAGTGACATCACCCTGAATGTGGACATTAACAAGAAGTATCTAGAAACAGTAGATATTCAAATCCAGAGCCCCAGGAAGTGCAGCCCCTGTGGGCACAGTAGGGAAGCTTGAGAAATGGGGGTTTTGTGGTTAACAAGACCTCAGTTCCAAATCCACTTGTGCCAGTTAGCCTGTGATCTCTGTTATCCAAAGGTTTTCTTGTGAGGAGATGCAAATGGACAGGTAATGGGAAATTTTCCTGTTTACCATTCATTGGTTAGAAAGTTTGGCCAGATACTGGAGGTACATGCCTATAATCCTAGCTACTCAGGTGTATGATATCTGAGGATCAAGATTCAAAGCCAGTCCAGGAAGAAAAGTCCATGATGCTCTTATCTACAATTAAACACTGAAAAGCAAAAAGTGGAGGTGGCTCAAGCAGTAGAGGTGCTAGCCTTGAGTGAAAAAGCTCAGGCCTTGAGTTCAAGGCCCAATACTAACAATAAAATATAAAAATAAGTTCTAGCTTTGGTGTGGTTCTCTTAAGTCTCTTGCCTTACTCTCCATCACTGTAATTAAAAAAAAAATACACCATGAATTCTAAGACATTTTACTTTATTTAAAAGAAGCCAATATACAGGATATAAAGGGCACAATATTTACAACAGTACAGTAAACAGGTAGGATCAGTAGTCTTTCAGTGAATAGAAACCCCTCCCCATGATGTTAGACCCAAGTGGCAGACAGACAACAGTGGGATAGAGCAGGAACAAAAACCAGAGAGATGCTAAAATGCCCACAGAGAGGTCTTGGTAGGGGGCTTTGCCTCATTTCCTTGAGAGCTTTGGAAAGATGGGGGAATAGTGAGGGACCTACCCAAGTTTAACACAGCCCACCTGAGCCTGCAGATCTCTCACTATGGAAAATTCCCTCCCAGAGAAAACTTGACTTTCCCCACCTCAGAGCCAAGCTCAGGGTCCAAGAGGAAAGACCCAAGTCTGGGGAACCTCTAGTACCATGGTCCTTTGAAGGTCCTCTGGAACAGAAGGGCTGCAGCCCAGTTGTTGGAGTTGGTACTTTCAGGGCTGGTCTCTGGGCATCTTTCTGACAGCCTGAGACACATTAAAACCCAGGCCCAAAGGCAGCCCTGTGTGTGCTCCCTGAACCAACCCTTGTCAACTACACCCTGCTGCTTAACGCCCTCCCAGCACAGCTGAATTGTAGTGATTCTTACCCCTTTTCTCTGCTCCCACCTCAATTCTGAAAAACCTGCAGCCCACCTACCCCTGGCAATGCCCCCTTCCAAGACATCCAAGGAACAAAGGGGTCAGGAAAGAAGCAAACCCTGCTGAAGCCCCTCATGGGTATAGATGAGCAGAGGGAGGATGGACGGCAAGACAGGGTGAGGGGTACTGATTATATTTGATCCAGCGGCAACATGCATGATATTTCGTCCACAGAAAAGAATGCTGGACTACCACGACTGCCTACCCTAGATTAAAAACCCTTTCCTTTCATAAAAATAGAAGAGAGTCTCTTGCTTTATAAATAGATTATGTTTAGCTTAAGTTACACCTTATATTATCCCCAGCCCTATCCCCTCTCCTCCCACCCCAAAGCAAAGTGGTTGGACTCTCCACAGGTCAACTGAGCTCAAACCCCAGAGCTGAGTCCAGGCTGGACAGGTCCTCCAGGGCCCTCAACACACTGCCATGAGAAAGCAAAATGAGTCTCAAAAAGAGTCTCAGTGGGTGTGTGTATGTGTGTGTGTATGTCTGTGTGTGTGTGTATTTCACAACCAACCAGGAAGCCAAAAGGATACTATATCCCCTGCCACTCCCCAGTCCCCTGTGTGTCTAACTCCCCCTCCCCAAACTAGGAGAGTAAAAGGGAGCAGCATGGAAGAGCCCATTGAGAACAATCTCAAAATACCAGTGTCAATATGACACTGGACTCTATTAGAAATAGAAAACGAACAACAAAAAAACAACCTAAGTATTTACAGCTTTACAAAGGACGGACCAGTTCATCCCAACTGGGCCGGGTGCTGCCCCAGCAAGCGGTGGGGTCTTGGCAAGCTGTGGGCTCATGGTGAGGGCACAAACAGGGCCCACTGGCAACAGACTTAAAAACACTTGGAGGAGTGGAAGGCAGCCAGGCCGAAACCCAGGAACCAGCCCCGGAGGCAGGCCCACCACACGCCGGCTCTTCCTCCCTGGTCTTCCTGCCCCCAAAGCCTTGCTCCATAGAAAGAAGCAGACATTGACAGCCAGCAGAAAGGTGCTCTCAGGCCAGTGCCTCTCTGGCACCTGGGCAGATCCAGAGCACCTTACAGACCAACAATCTAGGTACAGAATTGGGAAAGAAAAAAATGATATCCCAGGCCACCAATGGCCATAGTAACCGTCATACTAGTAGGATAAAGATATGTCTGTCACCCTCCCACCACCTTGAGCGACCATCCAGGGCTGGCTCCTACTTGACTGTGTGACCCCTAAACCCACCAGCAGATGCCACCCTAACCAGCCCTAGGCAGAGGAGACCCCACAGAGGCAGCCATCTTCCTGCCCTTGCAAAAAACGGAAAATCTTTTCAGCAGCTGAGGTCTAAGCCCGACTGGCTCTGATAACCTTTGGTTAAAATCAAAACAAAACAACAACAATAACAAATAAAATGGTTATGTATGAACCCTGTAACCTTTAGAACAAGGGTTGGTAGGTGGGTAGGGGGCTGTCCCTCCAGTACCTGTTGAAAGGAACTGTTTGGCTAAAAAGAGACGATGGAAGTCCTGCAGCCAGGCTGCAGGGGGACAAGTGAGCTATTTTCCCCAAAATAGGAAACAAAACCAAGGGAAAAAAACTGCATGAGAAAGGCCACCAAATTCTGATAAGTTACACTACACTCACTCCCAGTCGCTCCACACATACATGAGAACTATGTACACTGGTTTTTTAAGACACATAACAGATGGAGACCCCTAAAAGTCGGCAGTACCCTGTAGAGGAAAGTCAGGGAACTACCATCCACTCCAGCCCCAAGCCCCCTTCTTCCTCCACCCACAGACAGAGAGGGTGGTGAGTTCCAGGCCTCTGGCACATTTGTCCATTTGACCTCTAGGGGGAGCCTCTGAGCCAACAACAACAAACAAAAACCCCACCAAGATGGGCAATCACACCCACTGTTGTGGGCACACAGAGAGAGAGAGAGGAAAAAAAAAAAAAAAGGCTGGGCGCTGATGGCTCATACCTGTAATCCAAGTTACTCAGAAGCTAAGATCTAAGGATCCTGGTTTGAAGCCAGCCTGAGCAGGAAAGTCCTGAAAGTCTCATCTCCAACGAACCAGCAAACAGCCAGAAGTAGAGCTGTGACTCAAGTGGCAGAGCACTAGTCTTAAGCAAAAAAGCTCAGGGATAGCGCCCAAGGCCTGTGTCCAAGTCCCAGGATCAGAACAACAAAAAACAAGTTTTTTAAAGTAAAGCCTGCTTGCTGGGCCAGTAACCAGTACCTAGTAGAGACTCGGTGGATGGGCTCATGAGACCCTCTCAAGCTTTGGGGAGATACTGGCTCAGGTTAACTCCCCGTTGTTTGGTTACATGGATGATGTTGAGAATAAGCAGAGCAAGGAAGGTCCTTATTAGGGCTCCTACTGAAGCCACCTCCTGCCCACCGGCAGCCCCCCTCCCTCCCCTTTCCCTTTCAGATGTCCCCTTCTCTGCCAGTGGCCAAGCAGCAGGCAACTTGGGGATGGCGGAAAAACAAGATGGTGGTGGGCCAGAACTGACCAATGGACAAAATGGGTCCCAGACCTGGCCCCTTCAGACTTTCTCACAGAGAAATTACTGTTCTATAAACCCCCCATGGTTGGCTGGAGAGGGAAAGGAGAACATCAAGTCATCAGGACAATAAAAGACTCCCTCAGCCCAAACCCACCCCCACAGAGGTCCCGTAGAAAGCAAGCAGTCAGGTGAGCTGGGCCGACCACCCACCCCCGCTACTTCTCACCCTTAAGGCTGTGAGAGAGACGCCCCAACATCAGCCTCCCTCCCAGGTCCAGGGGACACCAGAGGTCAAGGAGAGAGGCTTCCTTCCACAATGGTATAAGGCAAGCTGCTTTTAGTTTAGTTTTTTTTGTGTGTGTGTGTGGGGGGGTTGTTTTTGTTTTTGTGGGTTTTTTTTGTTTTGTTTTTTTTTTGCATAGTAGTTTAAACACAGTGAGGCTCCACCTTCCCCTCACGGTGCCTTGTCCCTCTACTTCGCCACTAGATCCAAAAAAGAAAAGAAAAATTGGTCTTCCCTCCCCTCCTACCACCTTCCTCTCTTCAGTGAGTGAAAAAACATCGGAGATGCCCCTATCCAGGTCTGCAAGCAAACAGTTCCTTCCTAAGGAAGGCAGGGCATCTCCAGAGCCAGTCAGAGAAAGGGAGGGCAAAGCTCATGGCCAATCAGAGGAGCAGGTGGGAGGGTAGAAAACCATATGATGCCACGCCCCCAGGCCCCACCCTCACTTAGAATTTTGTATAAAAACACCTGCTAGGAATAATTCTTTGGAGCTCAAAGTGGCTCAGCTTAAGGGAGAAGGCACAGTGACAGGCATCGTCGCACAGAAGTCTGCATTTGTAATGTGGAGAACAATATAAATTGACAGCACCATTCCGTGGGTGGGTGAGTGGACGGAGAAGGGGCTCTGATGGGAGGTGGGTGGTGAAAGGTGAAGGAGGAAGGAAGCAGCGGTCCCTTGGGGCCTCCAGAGGAGGGAGGACAGTGGACAGTCTGTGTGGTGAAGGCTGGAGCCCACTCCCAGGAGCCCTCATGGCCCGTCACCAGGTGTGTGGGACCTCCGTCATCAGCTGACCATGGGCTCCACATCTGCCTCCCGCTCCAGCTCATCTTGGATCTCATCTGTACTTCCTGAGTCACTGCTGGCCACAGAGCTAGGCGACGGTGAATTCCTGGAAAGGAAAGAAAGTACTGAGAAAGCAGCTTGTGGGAGGGGGAGCTCCTGAAGGATACAGGAGCAGGAAACAACCACTCCTCTAAAATTTACCCCCTGAAGGTCCTATCCTTAGACTCTGCTTTCCTCAGGACACTTGAAGTTCATGAGTTGAATGTGGCTCTGGAGGCCTCCAGGGAGCCCCACCCAAGCCTCTGCTTGCTCTGGCTGTTTGGCTTCTCTAGATGGGAAATTCCTTGGGAACAGGAATCATGGATAATAAAGGTGCAACCATCCACCCCAGGTCCAGGCACCAGTAGATGCTCAGTCAACACCCCCCCCCCCAATAACTCAGAGCCCTCAGGAAGGCTAGAGAGAATGGACATTAACAGTACCGCTTGCAATTCCAGCTCTGTCACAAATGCCTGCGTGCCCTGGGCAAGCTATTCTACCTGCTTATAACGACAGAGGGTTCTGAGGGATTCCATGAGCTAAAGGTACGCCAGGCTGAACCACAGCCTCCACACCCTCTCCCACAATGCTGTGCTCCTCTTACACAGAAGCCATTCATAACAAGAAAAAGAATGACAGGGGCTGGGAAGGTGGCTCAGTGGTAGAGGGCTTGCCTTGCATGCATGAGGCCCTGGGCTCAATTCCTCAGCACCACATAAGCAAAAAGAAAAAAGCCGGAAGTGGCGCTGTGGCTCAAGTGGTAGAGCACTAGCCTTGAGCTGAAGAGCTGAGGGACAGCACCCAGGCCCAGAGTTCAGGCCCTACAACCAGACCCCCCCCCAAAAAAAAAATAAGAAAAAAAATGACAGTCAACACATGTCTGAGCTTTGCACCAAGAGTTTTCCATCATCAGTGTCTGTCCTCCAATAGGACTGTATGTCCTAATGAAGGGACTCTGTCTTTGTGTCCTAATGAGGGGCTCTGTCTGTGTGCGTCACGCTGGATGGACACCAGTCTCCTGGGAGCAGATCCATCTGGCCAAGAGTTAGGTGATAAGAAAGAAGAAAGGAAAGCCACTTCCTTGAGACACATAGGAGCCTAACTGACAGCAGTAGGGGAGTGTTCTAACTAGCTCCTCCACCCCCAACTCAGCAGACAATGGGGCAGAAGCTCTGAGTTTCCATCATCTTATCTTCACGGCCCTACACACAGTAGAACCTGTTCAAGTGATGAGGACAGGGCTGTGATGGGAGACTCATGAATTCGATATGTAAGTTACCTAGCAGATAATAAGTGATGATATGGAGTAGATGGATGGATAGACACATGGATGATTGATGGGTGAATGATGGATGGAAGATGAACGGAGAGATGAGCGAACAAATGATGCATGGCTGGATGATGGGTGGATGGATGAATGGAGAGATGTGTGGGTAGATGGGTGAGTGGATAGACAGTGGATGGGTAGTGGCTAGGTGGATAGATGATCGATGGAAGATAGGTCGATGGATGCTGGCTGAGTGGATAAACAAATGGGGTATAGATGGGTGGGTGGATGATCAGTGGGTGGGTGGGTGGGTGGATGGATGGAAAATGAATAGTTGGATGAATGGAGTAGGTAAAAGGACATATGGATGATGGGTGGACAGATAGATGATGGATGGATGGAGAAATGGGTGAGTGGATGAATGGGTGGATGGACAGATGGACAGAAAGACTAGGAAGACAAAGCATGCCCAGAACTTCCCCTAAGGACTACTGAATTCCCAGAAGGACAAGCCCAACCTGTCCGCAGAGCCTTTGATAAGCCGGCGGCAGGTCTCCATCTGCACATCTAGGCCTCTCTTCATGCTGCACATCTCCATGTACTCGTGCAGGTGCCGGTTCATGTCACTCTTGGCTGTGGCCAGCTCCAGCTGGGAGGAACCAAGGGAGAAGAAGAGGAAAGACAAGTCATGTCAAGGCAGAACCTCCCTCCTCACTGCCTCACCACTTGGACACCATGCTCTCTGGACTTGCCTCAGAGATACACCATCCCTGGCCCCCTGCTTGCTGTATGTGCATTGGTCCTTAGCCCCTAGAAGTGTTTCTGCGTCAAAAGGGAATAGTTGCTTAGCAATCCCAGATGCAGCCTGCCATACTAAGGCTCACTCAGTTTTGAGCTTAGCATCTGCAGGCTCCATTATATTGTTTTAAGTAGAAAACACCTCATCTCTTTTTTCCTCCACTTCCAAATGTTTCTTCCTCCAGGAAGGCATCAAGCTTTTCTTTCTCCAGCATACTCATTTATAGACCAGGACTCAGTCTGGCCAAGAGCCAGAAACAACTTGCTTGAATGCTGCCTTGAATGCTGTGAGCCTTGACCTCATCTCCTCCTGGGTTGGGAGCACAGTTCCCACAGTGTTGGGGAGGACTTGGGGAAGGAGCCTGCAACAGGCTCACAGTGCTACCATCACTGATGTCACTCAAAAGGCAGCCCTGTGTCAGGCACCAGTGGTTCACACCTGTAATAGTAGCTACTCAGGAGGCTGCGATGTGAGGATCACAGTTCAAAGCCATCCCAGGCACAAAAGCCCATGAGATTCTTATCTCTAATTAATCATAGAAAAAGCCAGAAATGGAGCTGTAGCTCAAGTGGTAAAATGCTAGCCTTGAGGAAAAGCTGCTGAGGGACAGTGCCCAGACCCACAGTTCAAACCCCAGAATGAGAAAAAAAAAGTCATCCTGATTATTCTGGGGTCATAATCTTAAGTAACTAGCTTTCTTTCTTAGTTTACTTTGTGAGATAGAAGCATATTGGTCTTGAACTCACTCTCTTCCTGCTTCAGCATCCAGAGCACCTGAATTACAGTCAGATGCTAGCAAGCTCTGCTCAAGTGAGTAATTTCCTTTTAAAAAAAAAAAAACTCTGAGGCAGCAGAGATCACTACCTCATTTTACAAATTAGAAAACTAAAAAGAAAAGAAAACTAAGGCCTTGACAAGACTTGGCCTCAATGCCAAGCAGAGACTCTGCAGGCTCCCAACTCCTGACCCTGTGCCAGCCAGGCTCACAAAGCATCAGATCACCAGGGTCTCACCCATGTGGGCCTGGGGCAGGCTCCCAGCACGAGCCCTCACCTCAATCTGCCCTATGGTTTCCTGATACTCCTTGTCTCTCGTCTTGAAGAAGGACTCAGTCTCGTGGATCAGGTTGCCCAGGTTTTCCTCTTGCTGGGGAGACACAAGAAAGGGGACAGTTTGGTTGGGAAGAGCAGGGATAAGGGATCATGGGAAGGAGGTGCCCTGGACACCCCCCACTCCTGGCCCGGGGAAGCCCAGGGCCTGGTCTCACCTCGCCCTGCAGGTCAATGGTCGGGTTACAGTTGGTGAAGTCTTCCCAGAGCAGAAGTGTGTCTTCATTCTCTTCCCACGTCAGGCTGTCACAGTCATCATCAAAATCAAAGGTTTCCCGCCTATGGGGTGACACGAGAGGACATGACTAAACAGAAGCCAGTTCCAGGGCCATCCAGAGGACAGCATGGGACAGCTTCTCTTATAGACATACACCTGTACAAATGCCCTTAGAAAAGGGCTATCTGTCTTATCCACAAAGAACCTAACTCTCCTAAAATGCAGAATGTATTTGTTTTATTTGTTGATTAAAAGTATATACTTTTAGCTGGGGACCATAGCTTATTCTGTCATCCTAGCTACTCAGGAGGCTCAGATGGAAAAATCACTGTTCAAAGCCAACATGAGCAGCAAAGTCCACAAGACTCAATCTCTAATTAACCAGAAACAAATGTTAAGAGGCATGGAGGCATGGTTCAAGTGGTAGAAGGGCATGGAAGAGCAAGCATCAAGCCCTGAGATCAATCCCCAGTACAGGCAAAAATAATAAATTAAGTACACACTTTTTGGGCTAGAGTTGAAGCTCTAATGGTAGAGCACTAGCTTAGCATATACAAGGTCCTGGGCTCCATTCCCAGCACTGAAAAAATATATATACATTTTTTTTAAGATGATAGGCTTTATTTTCTTAATGGAAACTAAAGGTAGTTTCTCTCCAGGCCAATGTAGTGGGTTTTTCCTCATATCCTTTGTATTCCCACTCTGAGCGCAGTGGCTTATATCCCCTGCAGCTTGGAGAAGTCAGCTTTACTAATTCACTTTACACAGATGAGAAAAACCACAGCTCAGAAAGAATAAGTCACTTGTCCAAAGCCACACAATAAATGTGTAGCAGAAACTGGGGCTGAAAGACAGATCACCTGTTTCCTACAGCCTTTTCCTCCTCATCAAATCATCACCAAGAGGCCAGGCATGGTGGCACATGCTATAATCCCAGCTAACCAAGGAAACTGAGAGCAGGAGGATCCTAGTTTGAGGCCAGCCTGGGCAAAAAGTGAGATCTCCATAACAACCAACAACGCAGATGTGGTAGTGTGCACCTGAGATCCCAGCCATGCAGGAGCCAGAGGTAGGCAAGTCACATCACAGGCCAGTCCTGGCCCCAAACTCAAAACTCTAACAAAAATAAAGAATGCAAAAAGGGTGAGAAGTATAACTCAGGTGATACCATACCTGCCTGGTGATCATAGAACCCTGAGTTCAAACCTCGACAGTACAAAACAAAAAACACCTCACCAAGCACCCATTCATGTCTGGGCTTGGTCTCGTCCCTCAGCATATATCAAAATGCAACTAATTCTAACCTCAAAACAAGCCTGTGAGGTAACAGAATTATTGTTCCCATTTTACAAGAGAGGAGGCAGGCAGGCTCAAGGCGAGTAATTGGCTGCTAGACTGATACACGATAGAAAACTAGCTTTGAATTCAAAATCAGAGTAATTTTAGGGATTCCTAATTGGCTAGAATTGAGAATTTAGTGACCAATCTCCAATTTCCCCCAGATAAAAGGTTCTCAGGATATACTGGTTATCTGGGAGGAACCAACATACCCACTATTCAAACTGGGGAAGGCTGAGTTGTTACACACGCTGGTTGCCCAGGAGTGTGGGATCCAGCCTCCAGACTTCCACCCCAAGAATCTCCCCACTGCCTGCTCTCCCTCTCCACTCATTCCTGGACCACTAAACACAGGATTATCTTAACCACACCATAATGGGACGATGGATGGGAACCTCTGGTCCAGGATCCAGAAGACTTTCTGATTTAAAAGCTTCTTAGTGCGCCCCCTGGAGTCAGGCCTGGCTGGTTCCTGGCCTAACCTCAAGCAGTTCTTTCAGGAGCAGTTCCTTCAGGAGCCTGTAGGTGGCTCTGTGAGTTAGAGACCAGAGCTGGGGGCTGGGAAGGGGGTGCACTGAGAAAGAGGCATTGCGGTAGCCCCTTGGGTCCATCCATCAGCAACACATACTCCACTCCTGACTTCATTTCCTTTCTACTGTCTGGGATCTGAAGGAAAGCCTTGCCAAGGAACACAGAGACAGAAAGGACAAGAAAGGGACAAAGCAGTGATCCATGACCAAAGAGGCCCCCACTCCCACCCCCAGGCCCACGGCTGTCCTTGGTACAGGCCAGCAGTAAATTCCTCCTCAGTTTGAGGCCCAACAACTGATTTGGCTTGAAACAAACAAACAAAGAAAAGGCTTTGACATGGATGTGTCTTTCAAAGACTTCAGTAGAACTGGTGATGGGGAGGGGGCAGGGTGGAGGGGAGAGGGGGGAAGCAACCCAACACAACTCAGCTTCTGGCTTGGGTCTGGGCCCAACACCAGTGGAGACATCGGGAGGAAAGCCAAAGCCTGCAAGGGTGGTTCATGGCCACCTTGTTCTCGGCTGCAGGACTGGGGGGAGGCGGGAGCGGGGGAGGCCATGATCAAAGTGATCAGAAGATTTTTTTTTTAATTTAAGCAACTTGATAAGCAGATAACTCTAACTGGAGACTGAACCTGACCCAGACCTGTCAACATCCAGGTATAGACTTCTACAGAGCTGCTTCCTACAGGAAGAAGTATTGGCCCAGGGAAACTCCTGGCAGATTCCAGAGGGTTTCTCTGCAGTTCACCCCATTCCTGGTGAACTAACAAATTCTAGATAGACTCCATGAAGATGAGGAAAAGGATCTTCAGATATGCTCTTTTTTGCGGGGGGGGGGGGGTGGGGGGGAGGGAGGTGCAGGTAATTGGTATACCAGTCTCACTACATAGTCTAGACTGACCTCAAACTCATGATCCTCCTGTTTCTGACTTCTGACTGCTGGGATTACGGTGTATACCACAAACCCATTTGGAGAAACCCTTTAATTCAACCTAATGAAACTGAGCTGGGGGTCTCTTGTACATCCCACCTGGTCAGGATCGGGAATGCCCAGAGTAACATTCAGAACAATAGACCCCAATCATGGCTCTTTTTTAAAAGCCCCACTTGTGAGGGGAAGATAATGGGGTTGGGCACAGGAAGGGGAGAGGACTCATGTTAAAAGATTAATCGAGAGTCTAGGGGTGTCCTTGCCACTCTCAAACAAGTGTCCAGAATGCCACACCGTCGCAGGTCTGCTTAAAGGAATATAGGCTGGGGAGGGAAATATCAGGTCAGTAAACTCCCATCCCACCCTGTCCCTGTCTTTTCTATGCATCATTCTGGCTTAGCAGAAAATCACCCAAGACAGCAACCATGATGCAGCAGAGACAGAAGAAGTATACTTCTTCCAAGCAGTAAGACAGCTGGTGTGGGAGGACAAAGAACTTGGAGGGCCTGGCTCTGTTCTAATTCTTTGTGGCCCTCTCTGAGCAGTTCCCTCATTAGTAGCCTGAAGAGGCTGATGGTATGATCTTTGGACCATCATGTGAAGCTAGCCTTAGGGCTGGAGAGTTCCAGGTTAAAGCAGAATTTCCAGATCTAGGTGCTCAACGGCAAAGGCTCCAAAAGACAGCCCATGTGTGCCACTGGGCTGGGAAGAAAGGAAGAACCCAGGGACTAAGTCCCACCACTGCCCAGAGCTGTACCGGTCTCTCCCCTGATCCTACTTTAGGGCACTAGAGGGATTAGAGTCCAGAATATCACACTGAATAGGCCAAGACCACAATGCTACTGTGCCCTAAGGCCAAGTACTCCCAGTGAGGTTCCCATACCCCAACTCTCTGTTGGATAGGGCAGGGGAGCCCTGATGGGCAACAACTGCCAGTTTCCTGCAATGCTGAATTTTCAGCTACTAACGGGACCTCACAGAACCTGCACACAGGCAGCACATTTACATAGCCAGCTTCTGCAAGCTGGTACCAGCTAGAACCAGCCGCCTCTGACCATACCAGCCCAGATTCTGGGCAGCAGCTCCTGGTGAGAGGGTGCATGGTGAAAGCAGGCCTAGTCTGCTTTCCTGTAAGATACTGGCCACGTATCTCAGCCAAGTTGCTGACTTCCTCAGAGCCTCAGTTTCCTTGTCTATAAAAGGGAAGTCAAGTCAGCCAATTGCAGGCCTGTGGTATGCTCCATGCATGGGAGTGGGGTGGGACTTCCTGTGGGTACATGTGGTGAACTCAGCCAGCCCATTAACAGAGATTGGAGGAAGCAAGCCAACCCACCAAGTGACCATCACAGTGCACTGGACCTTTCTAGATTCATGAAGTAATCAGGTCTAGGCTCTTCTATGCATGACCAGAAAGGGCAATGTCCAGCCCTTTAATCATGTGGGCAGGAAAGACTCCCTCAAGTAGGGGGTGATTCCCTCCCACTCCTCTTTGGTGGGGAAGTTTCTAAAGAAGAGTTAAGAGAAAGGTCGCAGCTGGTATAAATGATCATGGCCAATGGAGTGTACAATTCATGTCAACAGTGCCCTGGGCCTCAGTTTCCCAACCCTGTCAACAGTGCCCAGGGAGTCAGTGCCTGCTCTCAAGCTACCTAGAGAGACTGAAAACATGAAGCTTCCCAAATGATCACTACTGAAAACAAATCCCAATCCTTCCAGAATACTATGCTGACCAAACCACATATATCTATGGGATACTCAGCCCAGGCCTTTGGGTACCTCCGTCCCCAGGCCTTGGTCATCTGGCTACTCACAGCTGGTTAAACATGCGTTTCATCTCATCTGTGATGTTCATGGAGCCGACCTCATCGTCAGAGAACCGGTTCACCTCCCCGTCCTGCTCAGAGATGTCATCGTCCGAAGCCACTTTGCGTTCTTTCTTTTTGGGGACCACCTGGACCGGAAGGCAAGAGATCAAGGTAACTATGGAGTTTTGGCTGGGATGGAGGGGAGGGGTGAGCCAGCAAGGGAACTGGCATCCCTGGGAGGATGTGGGGGGAAGTAGGTCATGGCTAGGGCCAGTCATTGCAGGGAGACAGGTGTGCAGGTCCTCTAAGAAGCAGGCAGCATTGGCAGAAAGCATGAAGTGAGTGACATGCAGGGTGGAGAAGAGATGCCCAGACCAAGCCCTGCCCTGGAAAGGCCTGGTGGTTGGGCTGGTTCAGCTCACCCCTTCACCAGAAAAGCAGCCCCAGGATTTGGAGTGAGGGAAGCCAGACCAGGCCCTAGTCACCTGAGCTACCTCAGAGCCAGCCAGAGAGATGAAGCCTTGACCCACAGATCCATGCCACCCAGAGCCTCATCCTCTCCCATGCAGAGGCATGGATGGGGGGCCTGAGGCTCACCAGGCTTCCACCCTGAGCAGACAAGACACGAGCAAATGAGTGCCACATGGATCTCCCCGGCAAAGGGGCGGCGAGGAGGGGTGCGGGTGGAGAGCGCCCCAGGAAGGCGTAGGCTGCCTCCCTCTCATCCAAAATCACACACAGAGCGACGACACACCCTACTGCCCTGGGCTCAAGCAGAAGCCAAACCACAATCCAAAACTCAGAACACAGCCTTCGGAGAAAGAAAGGTACCCTCAGTCGGCTGGGCCTCTCCAGAGCACAATCCACTGGTGACTGTTTTCTCAGGGGCACCCACCCCTGCACAGTATAGGTCTGGGGGTGTCAAGAGACTCTCTGGAGAAGTGGGAAATAATCAAAGGCCAGTAACTCCTCTTCCAAATTCGGAGGCCCAGCTGCCAGAGCTCAAGCCAGGTCCTCCAGTTGCCCACTAGCCTGGCCAAGGATCCCCTACTAGCGCGGGGACAATGTCCCATCCTGGCACCCAGAGGTTTAGCAGGCAGCAGGGAGGCAGTGGGCACAGTGTGGGCTGGAGCATGAGAATGGAGGGTCACGAGACCTGAGGCCTGGCTCAGCTCTGCCATGTCCATCACCCCTGGGGACTCGGGCTCCTTTGTGTCCATGTGACACAGAGCAGTCACATCTGGTGGAGCCAGAGGGGCCTCCAAGTCCTTGGGTTTGGGGAGGCCGACACTGCCTCTCAGGATGGGGAGTGAATGGGACGTGGATGATGAGGGGATTGGCTGGAAGTGGTGGGGGCGGGGCTGCTCAGGGAGGGTCAGGTTTTGGCTGGTGAGCGGGGTGGCCCCAGTCACCTGGAAGATCTTGGACACGTCTTCCGAGTTCCGCTGCTGTGCGACATCGCACAGCTTGGCCGTAATATCGATTCGGCGGCAGATGTCCATGTCCACCTTCATGGCCTTTTCTTGGATCTTTGTATCCAGGTCTGTCATGGGCTGCAGGGAGGACAGCAGGGGTTACGTGAGCGAGGGGTGGAGCAAGCAGGAAGGGCCTGGCTGAGAGGTGGGGAGACCCCTAGGTGTGAGAGGCTTCTGGAGTCTGGGTTGGGAGTGGGGGTGTTGATCATTTCCTGGGAGTGGAGGGATGATTAGCGCTGCTCAGGGTGGGAAGGGGCAATGGAGGCCTTGGAGTGATGAGGTGAAACCGCGTGTGCTGACTCCGCAGAGCTGCAGAGCACCCTCTCAGCTGGACATGCCTTCAGTCTTGTTGGAACAAAAACCAAAAGAAAAGACCTTCCCACTGCTGAAAGCCGGCCCTTCATTTCCCACCGCATGCCTGACGGTCCCCACATGGCAGGCTGGCCCCGCCCCTCGCTCTCTTCCAGCCTTCTCCACAGCTGGCAGCAAGAGGGCACCTGGAATGGGATGGGGTGGGGTCCTCCTGAACCCAAGTGGGAGGAAGTCAAGTGGCTCCCCCTGGGGCCTTACAGCATCTCCCAGATACACCCAGCCACCAGCCCTTGAGTGCCAGGAGCCAAGCCAGGCTGTCACCCAGTTCAGGCTCCTTGTCCTTTCTGGCGGGCTCTGTGTGCACCCTGTCCGGTGCATAAAGGAGGCCTCTGCTGGTAATAGCTGCTCCCACCCAGGGCCAGTCACTCAGATGGGCTCCAGATGGCCCAAAGGATGCACATGGGCCACTCCCAACTTGACAAAGCAACCCTGCTGGAGGCTCTGGGCCCGGGAACCTCTCCGGCTGGCACAGCCCAGACCACTGTCACCCCAGTGCCAGACCCAAGGCCGCATGGTGAGCTGGGAAGGAGCCGAGCAATACACACAGACCGTCAGAGGAGCCTGGGGAGGGCGGATGGGTTAAGCAGCAGATTAATGCATCTCTACTCAGACCGAGGGAAGCAACGTGGGGAAGACAGGGTAGGGAGGGCGTCTGGCTTCTGCTGCGTCTCTCATCCTCAGGACAAACCAGGCAGCCAGGACTCTAACTAGAAGCTGAGCTTGGAGCCTCGGAGTGAATGAAGCATTTTGCATGATGAGGGGGTGGGGGGAGTCATGATGCCTAGGGTGGCAGCCTGTGGCACTTACGTCACTCATGAGCCCCTTGAACACCACTAGTTCAGCCTTGAGCCGCTCGATCTTCTCATTCATCTCCTCCTGGATGGCCTCGGCTTCCTGTGCTGCCTGCGGGTGGAGATGGGCAAGCTATAGAGGAATCCTGTGGGCAAGAAGGGGCTAGACATCTGGGTTTGGGGCTTTGGAAAGGGTGGCAGGACCTGTGTGTCGGCCTGGATTCTTGCTAAGCCCTCTGACTTTCCCTAACACTTTTCCAAGGATCATTAACAGCAGGGAAAAATCTATTCAATAAACCGGGAGAGATAGAGCCTTCCAGTACTTCAGAAACCCAGGTTGATCCAAGTAACATTCCTATTTAACTACCTCTGGTCTCAGAACCAGCCACGTCACCTGTGTAATCAAAGGTGAGCAACAGAAGCATGTGTAGATGTTTGCATGGAAAATATGAGAAGGCCACACACCAACTGATAAGCTGTACAGAGTAGAACTGCAGGCAATTTTTATTCTGTTTTGTTTTGGGTTTTTTTCATTTTTTTGTTTTGCTTTTGCATATCTGAATCTTCCAAATACCTGGTCATGAACATGCTAGGTTATGAAAGAAAAAAAAATTATCCTTGAGCTGGGAAGGTGGCTTAGTGGTAGAGTGCTTGCCAAGCATGTACAAAGCCCTAGGTTCGATTCCTCAGTACCACATACACAGAAAAAGTCAGAAGTGGCGCTGTGGCTCAAGTGTAGAGTGCTAGCCTTGAGCAAAAGAAGCTCAGGGAGTGCCCAGGCCTTCAGTTCAAGCCCCAGGTCTGGCAAAAAAAAAAAAAATCTTTTTCTCATCCTTTTCCTCCTACACATTGCTAATTATTGTTCTCTCCTTAAAGCTAAGTGTTTTAAATATCAGAAAGTAAATTTTCATACTGACTTTTTAAATTTGGTTTGGTGGTTCTGGGGATTGAACCCAGGGCTCTGCACAAGCTAAGCAAATGTTCTTCCACTGAGTTCCACTCTTATCTAATGCCCTTCCTTTGGTGCAGTGGCACTCTACCATGTAAGCCACAATTCCACTTCTAACATTTTGCTGGTTAATTGGAAATAAGAGTCTCACAGACCTTCCTGTCCCAACTGGCTTAAAACTGCAATCCTCAAGCTCTCAGCTTCCTGAGTAGCTAGGATTACAAGCATGAGCTACCAGTGCCCAGCTTAAAATTTTTTTGAATGGGCTTTTTCATGCTTCTTCATAGGGTTGCTACTCCATATCTCCCATTGACAGAGAAGAAAAGAGAATTCACAAAGTGAGGTTTGTTCAGTGCCCAACACAGGCAGGTGAGCAGCACACCCCCAAAGACAAAGCCACCACCATAGCAACAAGGAGACAACAAAGCCTCAGAGTTCACCATGGAGCCTGCTTGGGAAGCAGCCCACATGGTGACGCGCCCACCAGCTATCTCCAAGTATCAGTCACAACTTAGGAGACCTACAAGCTGAGGGCACAAGGGCTTAGAAACCTAGCCCAAGCCTCGGATGGGGAGGGAGGCTGAAGAGGAGGGTCATTGGCCCTGGGTCATCAGCAAGACCCAGGTTTCCCCGCTCCTATGCCCAAACTTTTCTGCTCCACTGTGCTGGACTATCCCTTGCCATTAAGTAGAAGAGATGGAAAGGATCTGTAGGCTCACAGAGGAGAGGCCAGGGCAGCAGAGGCTTTGGTCACATGGCCATCCCACATGTCTCTCCTGGACCTCTCAGGACCCCTGAGGGCGATCTTACCTCCTGCAGTGTATCCACCATGGTCTGAAGGTTCATACGCTTGGCAAGCTCCTCCTCCCACCTGTAAAAGCCAAGAAGGACAAGTGGTCAGAGAGTGGCCTCATGGTGCCAGTCCAGTGTTCAGTGTCCACCCAGGTTGGGGAGGGACTGAGCATGAGAAAATCCATCCTGCATGCCCTCCAGGAGCTCCCAGACAAGAGATGGTGGGAAAGGAAGGCATTGAATGGTGCCAACCATAACCAGGTGGTTGCTGGGTAAATTGGCTCACACCTGCAATCCTAGCTACTGAGGAAGCTGATATCTAAGGATCTCTGTTAGAAGCCAGCTCAGACAGACAAGTCCATAAGACTTTTTTGTTTGTTTTGTATGGTCAGTTGTAGGGCCTGAACTCTGGGCCTGGGCACTGTCCCTCAGCTCTTAAGCTCAAGGCTAGTACTCTACCACTTGAGCCACAGCACTACTTCTAGCTTTTTCTGCTTATGTGGTGCTGAGGAATCGAACCCAGGGCCTCATGCATGCAAGGCAAGCACCCTACCGCTGAGCCACTTTCCCAGCCCCCTCCATAAGACTTTTATCTCCAAGTAAACATAAAAAAGAATCCTACATAGCAATTGAGCTCAGAGATGTCAAATGTCTGGCCCCGAAAACCCATGGCTAGTCAGTAAGTGAAGCCCAAATTCAAACCCTGATCAGTTTAATTACACTAAAACAAAACAAATACAGCTCTCACTTCATTGGCTTTTATGATATGCCAGATCCTGTTCCTAGAGCATTCTGGATATCGTTTTATTCATGTATTGAAGAGGAACAGGAAAGGTCACAGGGGTGCACCAGGATGATGCACCCCCAGCATTATCTGCAGTGCATGAAGAAACAGCTCCCTGAGACTGGCTGGCTGACTGCCATGATGATAAAACCCTGACTCCCAGCATTGAGACATCTGTTCTACCAGACGTAAACTCAGCCCTCCTACAGTCAGTTCTATAGCAAAAGTGCTCCCATTATCCTACGATGCAGGTAAAGAAAGCAGGGCTCAGAGCCACACACTCATGGGAAGGGGAGGATACCCCTTTCCCCCCCTCCCACAGAGGAGGCTTCTGCCTGAGTGCTTAAAGACACCCCCACCCCTAGGCCAGGAACCTCCAAGCCTGAATGAAGGTCCTAAGTCTCTCCCAGCAGCAGCTCTTCCCTCCCCCATCCCAGGACAGACAACAGAGCTTCTGTCTTCCCTCAGTCCATGCTGCTGTCCCTACATGGCTGAAGCTCTGGAGGATGCTGCCGGCCAGCTAAAAATAGGCCAGAGGGGAGGAATGGAGGAAGAGTGGGTTACGTCACCAGCTTTTGGAAACAAGAGAAAACGGATACTGTTTGCACACAGAGAGGAAAATTCCTCCCCTCTCCCACACAAGACCAGTAGGCCCTAGCCGAGCTCCTGGAGGACAGGCACACAGGCCAGCTCACTTCAGTCTTTACCAGCCTGGCCCAAATCAACTGTGGATCCAGGGTACGGACATGAGGGGCAGGGGCTGAGGCTGAGGCCTCTGACAGCACTAGGGGAGTGGGAACGGGGGTGGGGGGCAGGGAATCTCAGGGCCCATGGGGCCAGTTTGTACAGAGAAGGAAACTGTGGCCCAGAGTGCACATATCATCTGCCCAAAATTGCTCAGTGTATCAGGGGCAGAGCTAAGCATTCAGCCTCAATGCGGGGGACAGGAATGCCAAGTAGGGAGAAGCTACCAGGCCATCTTCATCCCTCTTGGCAGTAGGGAGGGAGCACCCGGGGCCACCCAAAGGAGGGTAGGCCTTAGGCTGAATTACCTCCTAGAGACAGCAAGTTCCTCTGAGGAGGGGGAAGGAAGGAGATGACTTGGCTCCAAAGACTCTAAGCACGGTACAAGGGAGCATCTGAAGGCAAGGGAGCGTCTAAAAGTAGAGATGCCTGCAGCCTGGCCTCACTCCTGGGTCTCAGCAACAGCAGGAGCAGCTGAGCAGGGCACAGAGGGAAGAAGGATGACACAGACAGTTTCTTTCCCATTGGCCCCTGGAATGCCCCCCCCCCGCACCCTCTTTTGAGCAACCATCCAGTGCAAGTGGGGAGGGGGGTCATCCACAGACCCGTGCACAGCTGGGGAGAATGAGGCCCCCAACCAATTCAGGACCAGTAAGCTGGTATCAGGACCTCTACTCAGTAACAGCCACCTTTTGTCGGCAGATCTGGGCTCCACACGGGAGCTAGTCCTTATCCCCAGATCATCTACTTGAGTATGAATTATTATTCATACGCTAGTGTGAATTATTAACACTCTCAGGTAATGATTTTAAAAAAATCCAAATTCATTGTGCAGATGAGAGAGCTAGGGTCCAGTGAGGTAAAGCAACTTGTCTAACTCAGCTAGTAGGCTAGATTTGAGTTCCAGCTCAGCCCTAAAGTAGTGAGGGTAAAACTAACCTGCCTGGGAACTACCTGGCCATCTTTTCCAATTCAGCAGATCCACAGGAGGCAGACAGCTACTGGGTCGGGGTGTAGGGTTGGGGGCGGGGGGGGGGGGGGGGGGGAATGCTGACATTTTTTGTTGTTGTTGCGAGGCAGGGACTTGAACGCGGTAGCAGAGGATTTGCTCCTGGGCTGGCACTCTACTAATTGAGCCACACTTTCAACCCCAGCTGACAGCATTTTCAATGGCCAGGCTCTGGGGGGGCCACACAATTCATTACTTTCTCCTTCTTCTCCTCCTCCTCCTCCTCCTCCTCTTTTTCCTCTTCCTCCTCCTCCTCTCCTCCTGCATGGTGAACACACACACACACACACACACACACACACACACACACACACAATTTCCCCATGCTGCACACTGAGGATGAGTTTGCACAAATGATTTCTTTCCCAAACCAGGCTGGGTGGGCAGCTGGCTGGCTGCCTCCTGGAGGTGGAAGTCAGACCCCACAGGGGACAGCAGCTGGCTGCAGACTGAGCCTACCACCCTGACACACGGCCCGCCCAATGCATCAGGAAACCTGGCTTGGCCAACTCCAGTGTTGACAGTGCAGAAAATCTCTGTCCTTCAGCTGCCAGGCTGCCTGGGGTGAAGGGCCAGATGCACGATGTATCTGTTAGGTTGCCGCAGACACCCTGCTTTCGCTGCAACTCATTTCAGTCTCACTGAAAACTAGTCAAACGAATTGTTGGCTTTGACATTTCACACACCAGACACTACCTCTTCCCTAAAAGACAGGGTTCTGCAGGGAGGGGAGCCAGTTCAAAAAGGACAGAGCACAGGAAGGCACAAGCAGTCTGTCACTAATGCCACTGGAAGGGATGCTGATGGTCAGAGTTTTGGTGGATGTTGTGTATGTGTGTGCATGTGTGTATATGTCTGTGTGTGTGTGTGTGTGTGTGTGTGCGCGCGCGTGCACGCGCACTTGTACTGGAGCTTGAATTCAGAGCTTCTCACTCTTGCTTGGCTTTTTCCACTGAAGTCTGGTGTTCTATCACTTGAGCAACACCCCCACTTCTGGCTTTTTACTGGTTAATTAGAGATGAAAGGCTCATGGACTTTCCTGCCCAGGCCAATTCTAAACTGGGATCCTCAGACCTCACTCAGCCTTCTGAGGAGCTAGGATTATAGGCATGAGCTGCCCATGCCCAACTTTGGATGTTTCCTTTAAGCCTTTGCCCTCCCTACTTGCCAAAGTGGCAAACATCTTGCCCTCAGTCAACACTGCTAGGAAATAGTAATGCCTGGAATCAAACCTGTGTCTGGTCCAGTCCAAGTCCTGAGACGCCCACGGTGGAAAGGGTTGCTGTGACTGCAGCTGACCAAGGCTGGCTAGGGTCACCTTGGAGAGATGACCTTGGAGCATGACCTTCTGTTAAGCTTTCCTCAGCTGTCTACCCTGCTGCTGGATAGTTGGAACTTCTCCTCTTAAAGAGTGGATGAGAGAAGAGGGGGTACGTGCTGATTATTTTCTGGCGTGTTCATGTTAGGTGCCAGGTCGTGCTTCATAAAACATCAATTCAAGTCCCCTGAAGGAAGTCTCTATTTTGCAGGTGAGAGCACAGAGAGCCTAGGTAACTCTTCCCTTCCTCTTCCTCCACCTCTGTCTCCTGAAATTCTATCCCTTCTACCAGGCTTGTCTCAAATATCATCTCCTCCCTGAACCTGGTCTACCGCCAGTGTTTTCCCTCTTGGAGTAACAGGGGCTAGAAGCAGGATCTGCTCTCCCCCAGGGAGCCTGACCACTGTGTCCCACAGCACATGCTCTGGCCCAAAGAAGCCAGCCCTGACCAGTGTGACAGGGAAGTCACTACTATCTTCTCCCCACACCAGGGTCTGCTGACATCCACGCTGGGGCTTCTCAGATGCCCTGGGCCCCTGGGGTAGGATGGAGCAAGTGATGTCATACTTGGTTTTGGAAGGAAATGGGTGCAAAGGAGGAGCTAGGGCTAACGCTAGGGTCCAATTAGGCCAGCAGTGCATTAACTTTGTTCGAACTACCACTCCAGGCTGTATTCCCCAGACCTAAAGCTGGTGAGGCACTGAGTTGAAAACATTGATTGGACTGGATGGAAGAACGGATGGGCAGATCCAAGCAGGACTCATTTCCCTCCCACCGGCTCATTCCTCCAAGCCACGCTTTTCCCCAGCCAAGCCTCTCCCCTCCTAGCCTCCTCATCTTTGATTCCCTCCCTGAGAGATCAGGGAGCCAAATCCCCAGTACAACACTAGCTGTGTCCACTATCCTGAGAGAGACAGGCCAGGCCTGGGGAGGGTGAACCTGGACAGGAAGCAGGCAGGGAGAAGGACAGACCTCCCTCTCCCACAGCCCTAGGGGAGGTAGGGACAGCAGGACAATGGATGCCGGGAAAGGAAATGACAGCATCTCACTGAGTGTTGGGACCTGCCATCTTAACAGGCACACGTGGGAGGCCAGTGGCCAAGAGGGGGGAGGTGGCAGCCAGATGTGGTCTCTCCACATTCCTGAGGAGCTACTGCTGGGACCACGTGATGACAGATGAACGGGAAGCCTCAGATGAACGGGGTGCAGTTTCAAGGCCAGCCC